AAATTGGATCCCCTTCCTTGTCAAATCCTTCCAGCATGAAGAGAGGAAAATAATGAAATACGGCTGGTGGCTCTCGATATCGTTCCATGAAGGTATCAACATCATTTTGAAGTCTCCATTCTACCATTCCTCGAAAGTGCTTTTCTGCATCTGATGGATCCATGTCCCACTTGTGTAGGTATCGGACGACTTCATATGGATCATTTTTCCAATGATCCACATCTGCAAGGGACTCTCCAAGATTCCTTAGCAGCTCTTGAGCTGTTGCATTGAAATTCCACATTTTGGAGACTTGCATGATGTTTGGCTCTGCCCACCGAGATGAGACCGTGCCACATGATTCTTCCGACTCGGTCTCTGCTGTTTCCGGACCATCTTCTGTATCACCAGTATCAGGGGTAAGTGTATCTGTAATGGGACTACTACAATGCCCAACGTGCAGAAAAGACACTAGCAACAGTGCTAGAAACAGACCCTTCAACATCATCGTTGCTAGGACGGTGCGGGTTAGCCACATTCCCGTTGAGTATTTTGGAAAGGGTGGGTTGATTTTTGGATCTTGATACTCACGGCCCAACCAATGGATTGTGCCAACCATTGGATTGTTGAGCGGAGGCGGGGTAAATTTGATTTTGAGGTAATTTCGCCTCATCCAACCTCCCACTTTCATTTTAAATTTTTCAGATCCATCATCTGAGCTGATTAGATACAACTAGCACATCGACTAATAGAGACACCCTAGCAATACTGTGAGATATGGAATACATAATTTGGACATGCCGGTCGCAGTGGTGGTAGTGGCTTGTTCATTTGGTGGCCATGGGAGCAACGAATGGCCGGCAAAGTAGGGCTGTTATTTTCTGACCATTTTCCCCTTGATAAATGAAGCATCTAGTTTGACATAAGATAATTCCTGCTACATGGCTGCAACCACTACAACCAGCGCAGGGCTGTGACAAGCAAAGAATGTAGACAGCTCTAGATAGGTAGCTTGGTAGTGTAGGTGCTAATGGTTGAGACTTGTGATTTTGCCTGAAGAAGTCAAGAACACCTGCTTTTAACACGTAGCAGCTCTGCAGATTTCCCATTTGGACCAGTCCAATGGTTGTGTCGTGAGCATGCTGGACAAAGATCAAGATCCGATTTGCTAAAATTACCTGGTCTTTGGAGCTATCCAAAGGGTACTACGACTCAATGGGGGGTTTTAGAGTAGGGAAATTATCTAGCTAGAGTACGGTAGAGCTGACATCTCAATGTATCTGGTGTTACTGAATAGTGGTCCACGAGGGGAGAGAAAAGTGCCAGAAGGCCCAGCCTTTCGTTGCTTATGTATTCAAAAGCTAAAGGACGACTGCCACTCATGGTGCTTCTTCTTTCGGTTCCCTAGTTGGCATCTTTGCTTCTTGCCTTCGGTCCGACTCTGACTCGACTTGATTCATTAAGGTATGGGTTGGACAGCACTCTAGCACTCTTCAACGAACACTTTCTATATCCTAGCTCCAATCGAACATCGGACATGTGTACGTGAAACTCACATCAATAATACAATAATCAGAAGGGTCTACGATGCGTCCATATCATCTAAACAACCAAGCAACTGAACACGTGTCTTGGAGTCATCATCGACGGAGTCACTCCAACAAAACCATACTAAGTCAGCCCAAGCGCAATTACCAGGGGAAGAGCTTTGGATTGTCATTTCTATTGAAAGGCTCCGTTAATGGCAATGAAGCAGACTACCTGTACCTACTGAGTTTGCATTTGTTCAGAAATTCTACCTCCTTCCAACTTGACTTTCTCCATGTATCCTGGCATCTGCTTGCCCTTCCCATTCATGACAGGTGGCAGCACTTCTAGATCAACAAACTCTTGCAAAGCTTCAAGATAGTCATCATTGGTGACAAATTTCAATAGCCGCAGGCTCTGTTCATCATAGAAGTGTTTGGCTATCCCCCAAGCCATTCGAAAGACCTTGGGAGCCCGAACAACAACAATACGTTTGGCCAACCCTGGGTAATAGTATTGACCAATATAGGAAGATTTCTTGAGCAACCCAAACAAAGCTGGGTGGAACTGACGTACACTTAACCCATGCAGATCCACAATAACCGTAAATTGTGCGAACCGTTTGCCAGTCATTGGTTCATAATGGTACTGCTGCCAGTCCAAATGGCTGGGCATGCCATTGCCCCTTGTTGAAAACAGCTCGAATAAAAAATAATCAGCATCAAGCATGGCATCAGTACCAACTTGTTGGTGCATCCCAAAAGCATCAAAACTGCCAAGCCGGTTTAGCATGATAGGGTCACCCTCCTTGTCAAGCCCTGCCAGCATGCAAACAGGAGAAAGGTGGAATATTTCTGGTGGTTCTTGATATCGCTCCATAAAAGTATCCATATTGTCTTCGATTCTCCACTGGACCATGTTCCGGAAGAGTTTTTCAGACTTAGAAAGATCCATGTCAAACTGGTACAAGAATCGGATCGCTTCATATGGATCGTTCTTCCAGTGATCAACATCAGAGACTGATTTGCCTAGCTGCCTAAGCAAATCTTGAGCTGTGGTATCTAGCTTCCACAATCGTGAGACATCGACAAGGTTTTCCTCACTCCAACGAGACACGATGGGAGAACATGAAACTTTATCATCATCATCATGGAGAGCAGCCTCTGAAGCATCCGCGTCTTTTATCAGACCACGGTCCCGGATCCCTAATACTTCCCCGATTTCTTTCTTCGCGCTTCGCGGTACCACCTAGTATCCGGTACCGTACTACATATTGTCGTACTTCTCGGTGGTAATAAGCCAGCTAGATTACACCCACGTGAAGGTACCGATACCGAGCAAGGTACCAGAGCTTTTAGGAAGAAAAGCGCGGTCAACCTGCCACAAGATCTAGCTAGTAGACAAGCTGTTTTAAAGTAACACGCAGCGTCGTGCTTGCTCCTGCTACAATGTTGTAGTAACTAGCTTGCTAGCTAGTAGCTAGCTAGTAGCTAGCTAGCAGAACCAAAGGGACAAAGACTGCAACCAATACATGTACACGTATCTTTTATGCTTTCTACGATTTTAAGTACTACGGGTACCGGTACAGGTGGCTAGCTATCGAATGTGGCTTGTTTTGCACCATACTAGCTAGCATATAAAAATCAAGACCGTACTGGTGCTCCTATGAGAACAAGCAGCCGGAGGCTGATGCCCTCAACTGGGCCTTGCTCCTGCCTCCAGTCATTCTTTGGCAATATTTTTCTAGACTGTGACTTCAAGTCCAGCGTTATTGGAGCTGCAAGCAGTTGGCAGGTTATATACAGAAATGCCATGCAACAAAAAGCTAAATAGTAAATGGCCACAGTCCTAGCTATGGCGCCCATGGAATGCTGCCTCCTTCCAGTTTGATTTTCTCCATGTAACCAGGCATATGCTTGCCCTTCCCATTCACTGGGTTGATGATAGGTGGTAAGACCTCTACATCCATGTACTTTTGCAACTCTTCAAGATAGTTGTCCTGAGTGACCAAGTTGAACAGACGAAGGCTCTGTTCGTCATAAAAGTGCTTTGCAATTTTCCATCCCATTCGAAAGATCTTTGGAGCCCGAATGATGATGACACGCTTGGCCAACCCTGGGTAGTGGTATTGATTGATACGGGCAGATTCCTTGAGCAACCCAAACAAGGCTGGACGGAACTGACGTACACTCAACCCATGCAGGTCCACAATCACCGTAAATTGTACAAACCGTTTTCCTGCCATTGGTTCATAATGGTATTGCTGCCAGTCCAAGTTAGTAGGCATGCCATTGCCCCTTGTTGAAATCAACTCAGACAAGAACCTATCAGCATCAAGCATAGCATCAGAACCAACCTGCTGATACACCCCCCATGCATCAAAACTGCCTATACGGTTCACTAAGATTGGATCGCCTTCTTTGTCGAGCCCCGCTAGCAAACAAACAGGGGTATGGTGGAATATTTCTGCTGGTTCTTGATAACGCTCCATAAAGGTGTCCCTATCAGTTTCAACTCTCCATTGGACCATGTCCCGGAAGAGCTTCTCGCATTTTGATGGGTCCATGTCAAACTGCCACAAGTATCTGGCCACTTCAAATGGATCATTCTTCCAGTGATCAATATCAGAGAGAGAGTTCCCAACCTGCTTTAGCACATCTTGTTCTTTAGCAGTGAAATTCCACAAATTGGAAACTTCAATCAAGTTCTCCTCACTCCAGCGAGATGACATGTGCATGGTATCACACGATGTTTCATTTGAAAGAGCGGTTGACTCCATTTCTTCTTGTAGAGCTTGATCAATGTCCGTGTCAGCAACATGGGTATCAGAAATCTGACTGGTACAATTCCCAACAGTGAGAAAGGACAACCACGACAAAGCAAGTGGTACTAGTAGTTGCAGCTTCATCTTAAGCGGTTATCTCAGTTGTTTCTTTGATAAAAGAAGCTTGCCGAAAACAAGAATAATGTGGCCCAATCACGCGGAACTACTGTATGGTTGATTGCAAACGCAAAGTGAAGGGCAGTGTTTTGGCGCGATTTCAACGTGGGAAAATACAGTAGAAGCCAGCGCAATTTTCTTTCTACCGGATGATTTCTTACACCAACGGGGGGGGGGCAAGCAAAGATTCGATTCTAAAATCATCTTATCCATGTCATCCGGGGCCTTCACTACGGTACAAACACTGAACTACTTGGAGGGGAAAGAGTAAGAGCAATCAATGTCAACTACTTGTATCCGGCATGGAAACAAGAACAAGTCGGCAGCCACTGACAATAGCTATAGCTACTCGACAAAAACCTTGACCATCAAGTTCTATCTAGCTTCCCGATGTCCGCACCGTTGCGATGGTGCTTCTTCGACCTCGCGCAGCTATCTTGTTGCCCAATCCAAAACGATTGCTGCTACGGTATCGAATCAGAACTGTTTCACAGTCTCTGAAGTTTGTTCAAAAGAACAAATGCGGCACTTCCTCCAACAACCAAAATGTCAGTGATACCCAATCGGGCAACTCCCACAAGCTTGCCAAGGTATGGATGCAATCTTCTTGACTCATGCTGCCAATCGATGCCGAGAAAATGAGCTTTTTCAAACGGTTCCGTTCCGCAATGGCAGCAATCTGCTCTTGTTGCGTGGCGGTACAGACGGGATCGGGAAACAAGTCTTCGACGCCCGCACTCCAGCCCGAAAACTGAAGGACTTCCAGACTCCAATTCTCCTTGGCGCTTGTGGTGGCAATCTCGCCAATGACGTCCTGGACTTCGGCGATGGAATGACACGACGACGACATTTTGAGTGTGGAGAGTTTCAAACTTGGCAAACTACCGACCAGTGCCGTGTAGAAATCCATGGGGTAGTGTGCTTCGCCGTATCTCCAACTCAGTTTTTCCAGTCCGGAGTTCTGTTGGAGGCACTCGAAAACCTTGTATTCCAACGATTCCTCTCCCGGAAAGTCAAAGCCACACATGACACTGTCCAATGCCAGTGTCCGCAAATTGCCGTTTTTCAGTAGACCGAACAGACACTCCGCATCCGCCTCCACACTCAAATTGCATCGATCGAGTTCCAAGTGTTGGAGCTTTCCACGTTGCAACGCTTGCGTCAAGCCCGTTTCCAATCGAGCCAAGAGGTTGATGGATAGCGTAATGTTTTGCAAGGTACACTCCAACAAGCCTTCATTGACGTCATCAATCATGTCATCTACTTCACCATTGGCATCATTGCCCATGACTTCCAGCCCGTGGAGACAGGGCAACTGAAAGAATTGCAACATATCTTGTCCCCGGAATCCCTCAAATCCTTCAATGGTAATGTGTTGAATCGCAAGCTGCTTGTCGACGTCCTTCTTTAAGGCATGAACAAGTTTTTGAACCGCGCGAGTATCGAACTGACAGGCATCCAGGATGAGTTCGGTGGTAGTGGTACTTTCCCCGAGTCCCAGTATCAACTCGTCCATGAGAGAGGTGCCGTCTTCCTGTTGAGTAAAGTCCACTTCGTACAAATCGAGCCGTTCAATAGCAGTGCTGGAAGACGACAGAAAGGACGGAAGTCTCGAACTCCATCCATCCACGGACAAGTTTCGGATGCCGCTAACTTTGGTAGCAGTATGAGTAGTTGTCATGTTGTTGAGTGGTTCATCTACTGGACCAATAGAATGTGTATTCTGTTCCAACTTGTCCAAGGCCGTGGATACGGCGCGTTCATAGTCGTCCATGGGTTGACACAATTTCCGTTCCAATCGGAGCGTGGTAATGCCGGAATCCAAGGTGGGCCAGACTTTGGGAGTCTCTTGGTCCGATAGCAGCAATACCACTTCGGTCATGGACTGGAGGAAATCCAAATTTTGAGGCAACGTAGGATTGAATGGATCGGTTCGATTTCCCACTTGGAGCCGTCGAATGGACGGATTGCGTCCCGCCGCTTCGAGGAGTAACTGTGTCACTTCATTGGAATTTCCCTCTTGAGGTGATCCACCTTGCAACAGCAGACTCTGCAAGGATGGATTGCGCGACACAAATTCCAAAATGCCCGTCAAGCATTCGGTGGGGACCGTTCCTTGACACAGATTGACATCCAGAAATCCAATGCGCGTGTTGTGCACTATAGCTTCTCCAATCAATTGCAGAACTTCTGGGCTGTACTCCGCCATATTCAACTCCAATGTCGGAGGAGCATCCTTGCTGTTGTGACTGTACTGCAGTAGCGTACGAGCCAGGCCCAAGGTGATCATGTTGGTCTCCAACATAACCATTGGTGGCTTTGTCTTCCTGTTTTTGGCACTTGGTCGAAGGATTTGGTCGCTGTCCGCATCCGTGACCCGTGACACTTGCAAATGATAATAATATTCATATGCCCCCTGGGTCGTCTCCGTTTCCAGTACTAGTTTAACTTGTGACAACACAACAAACCCCAGGTCGCCAGTAGCTCAAGGGAAAAGATTGGCATTGCAAGCACCACGATGATGGGTTCTATGACTCGATCTATCCTCCTTCTGTTGTCCTTGGTGTCGCTCACCACCGTGACGGCGTTTGCTCCGACCATTTTGCCACCAAAACAGCTTACTGCCACATCTACCCAATTGTTCCAAACGCCGGTTCAAGATCAAGAGGAATATTACTTGCAGTTGGCAGTCCAAAATGAAGGGAACACGAACACGCCCGAAATGATATATATCCTCGTGTACAATCCTTATGTAAGTTGAAAGAAAACCAATACAAACCATCGAGAAACGTTGGAATGGATATCACTCTCACTTTTGTTTTCTACCCCACGTACTGTACTACTAGACGGACGAAGAAGGAGTTCACACCACGGAATACCCCAAAGAATCCGGGAAACAAGCATTGCTCGTCTTTGAGGCCTTGGAAGACTGTCGGCAAATGGCGTCTCTACTAGCGGTAGAGCCCTCTGTGCCTGGAGAGCCCGTTCCCACTCCGGCGCCATTGGCTCAAATGGAAATGGCATGTCAACAAATGGAATGGACCATCAAGGTGGTGCCAGCCACGGCTTAGCTAATGACTAGCTATTGTCTAACAGCTAGGTAATTGTAGTTTTGTTTTCAAGAGTGATTGTTCCCCTTGTCCTGAATCAATCACTGGAACTGAACAGGAGCTACCAAAATACGACTTTAGTCTACCGATAATGGCTCTAATCCTTTGGTCCTCTAGACCGTCGTTTTCAAAAGGTGCTTCCTTTGCCCCAACCAGGGCCTTCAGCAACTCCTTGCTTCAGCCGAGTTCTTTACTTTTATTAGCCATGCATGGCATCACAAATAAACTTACCAACCAGATATCAACCGATAGTCTAGTTGCTATGATTGCTCTTATTCTTTTTTCCTCCCAGTATGCATACATGAGTGTTAATAGTCTGGTAGATCTAGCTAGTGAAGGCCCCAAATGACAGACAGGATAGAGCAGAATGATGATCTAATCTGATTTTTGCTTGCTAGCTACGCTTCAGAGTGGGTGTTGGTGTAAAGAAAGCATTCCCTGGGACACTGTAGTTGCGCTGGCTTCTATCCCCAAGGTGCAATCGCGCCAAAACACATGGCATCACACCGAACAACACGTGCTCGCTTTTTGGAAGACCTACATCGTCATGTGTACCGTACCTAACCAGCTAACCAGCCAGCTGCATGCACGACTGCTACACGTACCGGTAGAGCTACCGGTAACCGGTAGCTAGCTCGTAGAAAGTAGGACTAGTACGCCCGCGCAGTCCTCATCTAGCTAGCTAGTGCATGCACGGGTGAAGTACCTGGTACTGCATTCTCGGACACGTAATCCCTCGTTTCTCAAACTTTCTATTACCAGCATAGTTCATTAATACTCATTACTCACAAAACAAAAACAGCGCAACCATAACCATGAAGCTGCTTGCATTATTGTGGGTGTCTTCTCTCGCCGTTGGAGAGTGTTCCAGTCAAGTTGCAGATATCCATGTTGCAGACACCGACATTGATCAAGTTCTGCAAAAACAAATAGATTCGGTTGAACCAGTCCTTTCAAATGAAACATCTTGTGATCCCCTCTCATCCTCGCTTTGGAGTGAGGAAAACCTTTTCAATGTCTCCAGTTTGTGGAAGCTAGATACCACGGCTCAAAATTTACTGAGGCAGCTAGGCAAATCACTCTCTGATATTGATCACTGGAAGAATGATCCATATGAAGTGGTCCGATTCTTGTACCGGTTCGAGATGGATCTTTCCAAGTCAGAAAAAGTCTTCCGGAGCATGGTCCAGTGGAGAGCGGAAAACAATATGGATACTTTTATGGAGCGATATCAAGAACCACCAGAAATATTCAACCTTTATCCTGCTTGCATGCTGGCAGGGCTTGACAAGGATGGCGATCCAATCTTAGTGAACCGTATTGGCAGTTATGATGCATTAGGGATGCACCAGCAAGTTGGTAGTGATGCCATGCTTGATGTTGATTCTTTTTTACTTGAGCTGTTTTCGACAAGAAGCAATGGCATACCCAGCCATTTGGACTGGCAGCAATACCATTATGAACCAATGACAGGCAAACGGTTTTCGCAATTTACGGTTGTTGTGGATCTTCATGGGTTGAGTGTACGTCAGTTCCGTCCAGCCTTGTTTGGGCTGCTCCAGGAATCCGCACATAGCAATCAATACCATTACCCAGGGTTGGCCAAGCGTGTCATTGTCAATCGGGCTCCCAAGATCTTTCGAATGGGATGGAATATTGTGAAGAACTTCTATGACGAACAGAGCATGCGGCTATTGAAATTTGTCACTGATGATGACTATCTTGAAGAGCTGCAAAAGTACATGGATGTAGAAGTCTTACCAGCTGTCATAAACCCAGTGAATGGCAAGGGCAAGCAAATGCCTGGATACATGGAGAAAATCAAACTGGAAGGAGGCAGGATTCCATAGCAAGGACAGTTGTCATAAATTATTGGGCTGTCAGTCCGACTATCTAGCTAGCTACGAAACACACTGTTCGATTTTCATCTTTGCCGTGTGTGCCGAGTGGAGTGACAGTCGAGTCGAGTCTTTCTCAATCTCTCTGTGGCAAGGTTTGGGCCGAAAGCAGCCAAGCGGAAGCTTTCAACATCCACGGCGCGGCTGCTTCCTCGTTGCACGCATGTATTGCAGTCGTGCTCGAACAGGTCACGCACTCGTCAATCTTGGCCCAACAAAAAGGCAAAAGACCATCCGTTACAGGATCACATGTTCCAACAAGCAGACGAAGCCAGATTAATCCAAGCACTTCCGAAAGCAATCCTGCGAAACCAGCAAAGCAAGCGAGTGGTTATACTGTAGAATCAAATCAAATCGTTCTCTGTCTTGTCTGGTTTTAGTCTCATCAGTCTCATCAGCAACATGATGAAAACCAAACGAGGCTCGGGCCGCAAACGGCTTTCCCACAAGGAAGGAAAACGAAAGAGTGCGTTGGATTCCATGGCCGTCCCACCCTCCCCAACTCACCCCCACAGCCACAATCATCACAGCCACAATCATCATCCTCATCAAAATCAACATCCTCCTCAGATCCACCAGAAACAGCACGACTTTCGATCTTCTACAGGAACCATGGGATCTCCAACCGCCGCGGCAGTAGCCAACAGGGACTTTCGTCATTCCGTCACGGGAGCTGCCCCTACTCGCAATTTTGTGGAGGCTCCCGCTGTGTCAACCAACGAGATCGAATCTGCCACTGCGAATACTGAGGATTTCTCTTCCTGTTTTCATCGGGATCTTCTTCAATTGGGCAATGCCATTGAGAGACTCTCCGTTGCAAAGTTACCCTCGTACCCCGACGATGATGACGATGATGACACGACAACGGTTACTGCTAACATGTCAAAATCAGTGGACAGTTTACCTCCAGTTCAGGAAACTCCAAAGGAAAAGGTTGTTGCCAAGGAGAGCTCTCCTCGGAGCGTCCTCATGAATCCTTTTGATTCATTCGGAAGTGACGATGACAATTTGGAGGAACCAAAGGCTGCCGGTATGAATCCCTTTCACACAGAATCTCACTCCCCGGATCCAGGACAGCAGCAGCAACCCAGCAATATTCATCATCACCAGGAACCGAAGGTAAATACGTCCACTGCAGCCTCCATCATGAGACAACAGCCAGCCAATAATATCCAACACCACCATCATCAGCCAGCGAACATCAACGACAATGCAGCTGCAGCTGTAACCACGCCCACGCACCATCATCACAGTCGAGAAGTCGACATCAATTCTGCTGCAGCTGCCATCACAGCAACCGCAACCAAGCAGCAGCACCAAAATCCATTTGACGCTCATTCACAGCCCCAAGTTCAGGCACATCCACAATTGCCCGCTGCGTACAAAAATGCAATGGACGATACCAGTCAACAGCACCAGACACTCCCCATCTACGGTGCCGTGCCGTCTCTGGATGAGTCTGTGGCATCTGCTGTACCATCGGCACTCGGTAGCAGCAGCCGTCGGAATGCGCCCAAAAGCAACCCCTTTGACAATCACGTCGAGCCCCATAAAGAACTACACGACTATCCCTTTGATGAAGGGCCAACCATCGCGACGCCACCCAATCCGAAACCGTCGTCGGCAAATCCCTTTGACAATCATCTTCTACCAGAAGTGGCTGCTCTGGACAGTAGCCGCCAAGAGGCCGTCAGTCCCATTTTGGCAGCTACACCCACCATAGCGTCACCGGCTCCCGTTTCTTGTTCGTCGTTGCCAGCCACCACATGGCAGCAGAATCCGTTTGACAGTCATCCAGCCGTGCCCCATCACCAAAGCTGGGACAATGTGCCACATCAACGTGGAGGTGATAATGAAAAGAACATGGATGAGGACTACCTCATGGACGAACTACACCACCTAAAACAATCGCTTTCTCAGTCGCAGCAGGACCATACCGCAATGAACGGATCGATGAATCATCATCCCCCCGTCGTGGTGCTGCAAACCAAGAACTCCGACATGTCCCACGACTATGTGGCCGAGGAACTCAACCACTTGCGTCGTTCCATGTCGCATCAAGATGGTACACAGCCCGGACCATTGGGCGCTACTAGTGATGATGAAGACGAAACGGAGACGCATGATGAGGATGCCTCGTTAGAACAGGACCCATCCGAACACGTGCAGAAGATGGCATCGATGGTCGACGACGACCTCTTCTTAGTGTAAGAATCGGCGTCTGTTTGTGGCTGTTTCAATCAACAATCAATAAAAAGAGTTTTTATGGTGGCCGGCCACGAAGCACAGCTGTGAGAAGTAGCTACGCAGAAGGCAAGGAAGTCTGAAGCAAGGATCTGGCAGACGGGCAAGCAAGCAAACAGTGGAGAAATACCCACACACAATTTCAGTAAGGACAATAGGTACATGTAGATAGCTAATAAGTTGATTCGATTGAATTTTCAATGCAGTTTCGATGGTCTGCTATCTATCACTATTGTCCAAGGAGCGCGTCATTCCCTCGGCAGCATAGCGTGCCACCGTCTGCTCTACCGTCGTCAAGGTCATGCCATTGGACCCCGAGAACATGAGCATACTGGAATCCATGGCATGATGGAGTCGAAGTAAGTGACCAATTTCATGGCTGCTGACCCGATAGTCGTAGACAGATGGATTGTCTACCACAAAGAACGAATTGACCCCACTGGGTTTCATCCCATTGATCCCACCCCCCAAGGATTGTACGTAAAAGGCATAGATGAGAGCTTCGTCTTCGAGCCGAGATATGTCTTGCATCTGACCTTGGTAAATGGCTCTAAAGAAACTTGTAAAATCCCTTCCAAAACCTCGTTGCCATTTCATTCCTTCCAGTAAGTCTACAGGAACTACCACTCGTTCCATGGCAATAGGATCAATTTCAATGCCGGCTTGACGGTACCACGTTGCATTGACTCTTCCCACTGTCTCTTGTACATCATCTATGGTTCGAGCACTGGATAAACTACCGTCATTGTCATCATCCAGTAGAAAGACGGCAATTGGAATGCGTATGATTTCTCGTTGTTCCGCGGCAATTTCTTCTTCTGGCAGTGCGACAGAAATCTGTGCGTGGACCTGCCAACAATAACACAATAGTACGTGGAACAGCAGCCAAAGCGACTGTTGGATGGAATGCAGCCTCATTTTGCCAACTTTATGACAACAAAAAGAACTTCTGGCATGGTGCATTATATTCATTGATCGGTCTTGCAACCCAAACGATGGTACATTTACCTTGTATCCTTTTGAAGGAAGCTTGGGTCATTTTTCTTCCTCTTTTATTCCCTCCCTCCTTTGATCGGGGTACGGTAAGCTTCACAGCTCCTCTGGCTTTTTCTGGCTCTCTGCAACCATTCGTGCACCTACGATAGGGGTGGTCAATGTTGCTTTTTCAGATCACTTTTTCCCCTTCTTTTCTGGCCCTTGTGGGGGAGCTTGGAAGTTCTGAAAAGAAGAAGGGGCGGAGAAGTCAAAAAGAAAGAAAAAAAACTTCTTTGAAAGAGCACCTTTTTAGGTGCTCTTTCGCTCACAATTTTTCTTTTCTTCACTCTTTCGGTCATTTTTTGCGCTTACTGACGTCACTGCAACACCTCTCCATCGCTTCTCCGATACCCTTCTCTCTGCACCTCTGCCCCTCTTCCTGCTCCCCCACAAGGGCCAGAAAAGATAGGGAAAAAGTGATCTGAAAGAGCAACATTGAAGACCCCTGATGTACCAATCTCCATTTTTTTCCATTCTTCATTTTTTTAGTCCTCGCCGCCAAGGTCTCTTAGTATAGTCTTTAGCATACTTCTTTTCACCATGAGTGCTGTTTCGGCTCCTCCTGATGACAAGGGCTGTAGTATCGCCATTTTGGACTTGCCAGTGGGTTCCTCGTTGACATTGGATGGTCACGTGTTGCGTCTGCAGCGAGACGACTTTGTAGGGATCAAGGGCATTCCATTGCTATCGAATGACGGGTTTCACTTTGTGGTGGCTCGTGCGGCAGTACCACAACAGCAACAAGGTGGCGGTGGTGGAGCTGGGACAGTTCCAGTCGGCTTTGTCATCATGCCAGCAACAACAACCGATCATCAAACATTGGCTCTGGTACGTCGGTACAGTGCCTTGACGGAAGAAGTGTCGAGTGACGAAGTGGATGCGACCACGGTTTCCAATTTGGCGACTCGGATGGAGGCGAATCAATTGGAGCCGCACCGAATGATTGCTTACAGTGATATTGTCAAGGACGAATCTCAGGCATGGAACGACGCCACGCAATTCATCTCGCGGCAACTATTGACATCTCGAAACATTCGACATGGACTCAAAATTGTGCCAGGATGCTACAGTGAAGACGACGACGAGCAATCCACACAACAAGATGACAAGGATGGATCCTCCATTCTCTATCCACCCATTCCAGTCCTACAATCTGCATCTTCGGCGGCAGCACGTCATTCCCAACATGCGGGAACCAAAAAGTACCTGGCCACACTGACGCCAACCCAACGAACGGCGCTATTTGTACAACAAACCAATCCAGCCACGGCCATCCTCGACAGCATTCTCCACAAATACTACCACAACCGATGGCAAGAGTTGCTCGGGGATATTCAACTATCCTACCTGATCTTTTTACAACTCCAGTGTCTCGGTTCTTTGGAACATTGGAGGGACCTGGTGGCCATGTTGTGTCAAGTAGATGTCCATCCATCGCATATCATTCCTCTCTATACACACTTTTTGACTATTTTGTCCAAACAAGTACTGGCCATTGAACAAGACTTTTTCGAAGACATGGAGACCACGGGCGATAATTTCTTACTGCCGTCGTTACGGCAATTGTGTCAAACCACGGCCCACATTCGAGACGAAAACTTACAAGCGGCGCGGACCCAATTGTGTCGGATTTTGGAAAATCGATTCCAGGGCGTTGTATCAACAACAACAACAACAACAACTTATATGGAAATGGATAGCGACGAGGAGGAAGATGAGGAAGACAAGCCCGTGGTAGTAAGTACCGAAGAGTACGAGGCTTCCATGGCCCGAGCGTCCAACACCACACCACAACAACATGGGCAAAAAGACCAACAACCCCAAAACATTCGACAACAATATCCAGTCTTGTTTGCGGCGCAAATGGACCATGAGGATATTCTCATGACTTGTGCCAGAGCACTCGATGAAAAGAATGATGTGTCTTTGGTCCGAGAAGCAGCGGCCTTTTTAGTGGAAGAGGTGGAACCGGGAGCCACCTACACGGTCAGCTAGCCTAGAAGTGTTGGTGGTTGATAGCTACGGTGGCTAGTGTATTAGTAAAAGTAGGTCATAGCCGCAAGTGTATCACTGCAGAGTCTAACCCCCTACATTCATACGGCCCTAGACTTTGTCTGTAGTATCCCAGATAGCCCGCCAGGCGGGCCAACACTGGCTGGGACCTGGACCCACATCCTTTTGAAGCTGTCAGCCTACGGGAGCAAAAAGTTGGTCATCGCTGTAGGCTTGGGCTCGGAGCTCACAGACTATGAAGAAAGATGCGATAGTTGCTTTGGGGAAGCAAGAAACACCTGGAAATGATCCCAGAGCCACGTGTTGCTTGGGCTTCCACTTTCTCCTTGTCATTGCTGCAATACCATCCTTCTTTGCTGTCTAGCATAAAATCCGCACCACTAGGGTCCGCACCTTGGTGGCAGAAAAATCCGCACCTCGGCAGCAAAATCCGCACCTCCATTGGTCCGCACCTCTACGGCAAAAATCCGCACCTCTACGGCTCACACCTCGGAGGTCTGCGCCTCGGCGGCAAAATCCGCACCTCTACGGCTCACACCTTGGTGGCAGAACATCTGCACCTCTTCGGTCCGCACCTCGGAGGCAGAACTCTGCACCTCTAAGGTTCGCACCTCAGCGGCAGGAAACCCATTCTCTGTAATGTCTACCGGTACAGTATCTGTTTCCTGTCCCTTTGCGTTCTAGTAGAAGGATCCATGATTTTCACCTCTCCAAGGATTGATTCACTACTTTTTGCAGATCTGGCCGTTGCAGCTGCAAAACCCATGTGGATTGGAAGCAGAACCTCACCTCTCATACCGTACAGGCCACTAAGAACGTGTCATGAATTTGCCTGTGCTTGCAGTGAGGTGGTACATTAGTGGTGGCAGCAGTAACGTACAAGGCCACCATTTGGCATCTTCATTCCTTCTCAATCTGTCTGTACGATATCTCCTCTATAAAACTTTGAATCATGAACCCCTCCTGGATGTCCTCTTGCAAGACAAACCCCACTCTTTCATACAATCTCACGGCGGTTGGATTCTGTTTTCGTTCCACAATCAACGTGACAGCTTGGGCATCCAATTCTGTCCGACCCATATCTTCCACGGCTTTTAGTAGAGCCGTCCCAATCCCTTTTCGACGATACCCATGTCGAACCTTCAAGTTCTTGAGATGGACGCGAGACGGTAACGCTCCTTCTGGATGACAATATCTGACATCCACGGCTCCCACTACTACTACACCATTATTACTAGTATTGCTACTCATCATCCGAGCCAAGAATTGAATGAGCGTGCCTCCGCCCACTTCAAATCGTTGTATACTTTGTGGCATGCGATCACGAATCTTTTGCCGGAAAAGGACGTTAGACTCATCATCGTCAATGGCATCGCATCCGTGTCGAATACTCTGGGCCCGAAAGGACAACACATCTAGCACTTGCTCTATAGTAGTGACGCGTTCAATTTGAAACGTTGGTGGTGCATGATTGTTGTTTCCAATGGAGAAAGGAGTGGCGGAGGGAAGAAAGAGAAGAGATAGGAATACTTGTAATAGATGATGTAATAGATGTAATAGCAGATTGGAAGATCGCATCCTTTCTTTCCCGTGCACTGATGATCGAACATGCATCAGTGTCAACGACAAGGAGTGTCAACGACAAATTGAGCAACAACTACTGAGTAGCGGATTGCGGACAAACTCCCCATTCCGGATGCAGTGTTTGACTGTTGAACTTCACTCTGTTCCCTTTCTTTTGCAATAATTAATTGACCTGTCCAGAGTTGAGACGTTGAGACACGAAGAAGTGTTCTTCATAGATAAATAATATCATACTCCTGCACGAGTAGACTATTATGACCATCGATCATCAAGACATAAGACATCAAGACTTACTCAAGTACTGAGTACAGTACTCGAGTCTACTCGTAGCCAGTAGTACTCCTCCGTATATATTATCACATGTAAAAGTCTAACTAACTACTTAGTAGGTAATACTTACTTTATTAAAAAGTGACATTTTTGTGATGAAATTCGACTTATGGTATTGTGCTCTTTCTGGCCGCTGACAACATAGATAATGACCACTGGTACGTAAGTGGTACGAAAAGGCAGGCAGTTTGGGTTGCTTTGGTGCTTTGATGAGCAACGGCGAGCAAGCTCTTGGCTCTTGGTGCTTGGTGGGAGCTTTGGTGGGACTTTTTCGTTGTGTCACCTGTTTTGACGAATTCATAAAGGAAAAAGGAAGCCTTACTGAATCCTTCAAGCGAACCAGAAAGTGCTGGTACCAAACACCGCAGTGATGTGACGCCAACAGGTAATAGTACCGGTAATAATCTAATAATCTCGTCTTATCCCGAACGATCACTCCTTTTCAAATCCGTCTCTTCCATTCATTCTACTCGAGACATCCACCAAATAATGGCTCCAATAGAAGCTGAAGCTCCCATGGGGATGTGTGCCGTCACCAAGGATTTCAGTTTGGGCTTCCAGCATCCACTATCAGATACCCCTATTAAGATTTCCAAGCCCCTGGTTCCCGACCTGAGTTGCCTCCACAATGGCCAACTCTTTGGTCGAGAGCGAGAAATCCAAGACCTGAGCGATGCCTTTGCTCGCGGTTGTCTGCCGGCACAGTCGCATTCGTCGTCTTCGTCAGAACTGGTGCTCGTCTCGGGACCCTCCGGATCGGGCAAATCGGCTCTGGTCCGAGCTGCGCTCCGCGATTTAGCCGTCCAACAACACGGTGGATGCTACCTCGTCGGCAAGTTTGATCAATTGCAAAGCACGCCCGAGCCGTATGCTCCCTTTGTCCAAGCCTTGACCGATTGGGTCCTGTCGTCTTCCTCTCATACGGACCAAAAGGATTGGGTCCAGGAACTGGGGAGTGAAAACGCCGCCGTACTGCAGGCGTTGGTGCCCGCGTTGGCCCGGGTGTTTCATCTCCACAATGCCGACATGACGTTTACCACGGCCATGGGACGAGAAGCACAACAAGATCGTCTCAAGATGGCGCTCAAACGATTCCTCAAAGCGATCAGCAGCGAGACTCCACTTGTGTTGGTACTGGATGACTGTCAATGGAGTGATGCGGGGTCCTTGGCATTGCTCGATTCTCTACTGTCGTCAGAACAGCAAGAGCCACTTGACAATTCGTGCAATCATTTACTCGTCGTGGCCATTTGTCGCAGCGACGAAGTCTCGGTGCATCATGAATTTGCCGGCATGCTGCGGACACTGGAAGACGAACGAGGCACTCGCATTTCGCATATCCAAGTACACAACCTGTCACTCCAAGCCACCAATCAACTCGTCTCCAATGTACTGCAACAACCTCCTTTCATGTGTGAGTCCTTGACGGCACGAATCCATCCCAAAACAGATGGAAATGTGTTTTGTCTCTTTCAGCTACTGACGGCGTTGTTGGAACGTAATGTGCTCTTTCCGGACAAGGAACAAGCGCTCTGGCTGTGGGATGACCACAAATGGAACCAACACTTTCCTCCCGGTGAAAAAGTCAATATCATTGATCTCGTGACTTGTCACATTCAGAGTTTGCCTCCCCGGTGCCAGCGTTTATTGCAGATGGCTGCGTTTCTCGGGGCAGAATTCGAGATTGATCTGCTGCGGATCTTGCCATGGAATAATGATAATGTTGAGGAGGTGGAACAAGAACAATCATCATCCTTCGACACGGCCCTTGCCGAGACCATGGAAAGGGGGGTCCTCCAGCAACTACCACATCATCCCAATAGAGGTTCCTTTACTCACGATCAAATCCAACTGGCGGCATATCATGCCTTGGTTCCCAAGAAAGAAGAACAAGCCCTCCTTCATTTGACAATTGGCAAGACATTGTATCAACAACTGTCCCCGGATGATTTGCAGGAACGGATATTTCTAGTGGTGAATCAAATGATTCATGGAGCAGCACTGTTGCAATCCGATTCCGACAAGAACGGGTTAGCCAACTTGTGCTTGCAAGCGGGAAAGCAATCGGCACGGTCCAGTGACTTTCGAACTGCCATCTTTTATTTTGAAACGGGAATTGGATTGCTGGCAGAACGATGCTGGAGAGACGAATACCATCTTTGCTTGGACCTGTATAGCTCGTTGGCAGAAGCTACCTGTTCCACGGCAGACTTTGAACAGATGGATCAAGCCATTGACCAGGTATTGGCCAATGCAACACGATCCACCAGTGACACGGCACGAGCCTGCACAACAAGAATATATGCTCTCAGTGCAAGGCTGAAACCCAAGGCGGCATTGGGACTTGGAAAAGTTGTGGTGGCGGAACTGGGCGTCGTTCTTCCCGCAAATCCGGGTATTATGTCCTTTCTTGGTGGCTTTATCAAACTGAAACGAAAGCTTGGCAAGAAATCCGACAAGGAAATCTTGGCATCGCCGGACATTGATCCTCATGCCCGCAACCACATTGCGGCCATGACGATTCTTAGCATGATGGCGACTTGTACCTACACGGCGGATGAATGTGATCTCTACCCATCCATCGCGTTTGAAATGGTGAAGATTTCCCTCAAACATGGGCTTTCGGCCATGTCCTCTCATGGGTTTTGCCTCTTCGCGGTCGTCCTCGTTGCCATGGATGATTACGAGAACGCCCACCGATACAGCCAGCTTGCCTTGGATATCATCGATCGATACCCGCATGCCAGAGCGGAATGGCTTCCACGGGTCAGTTCCACCGTCTATGGTCTCGTCGCTCCTTGGAAGAAACCCATAGCCACGACCCTTGCTCCACTTCTGGAAGCCCATGCCATTGGTCGCGATTCCGGCGACATTGAGTTTTCCGTTCTGGCAGGGCACTTTCATAGCCTCAGTTCTTACGTTGCGGGGCGTCCCCTGGCGCCTATTGAGAAGAGTCACGCCGCCTTTTACAACCAAATGGTGGAAATGAAACACGAGACTTGGCTGGCAATGGCCGCACTTCTTCTGCAATTCATTCGGACTATTCAGGGGAAGACTGCAAATCCTCGAGTCCTCCAGTTCGAAACCGCCGATGAGACCAAGAAGGCTTCGTACCAGGCTCAGAGTCTCTTTGCAACCATCTGTCAGATGATTCTCGCTCTCCACTATGGCGACTTTGACCTGGCACTAGATTGCTCCAAACGAAGCCGAATTGCCGAACGGTCACTGAAACCTTCGCCATTTCTACACGTGTACTATTTGTACGATGGGCTGACAGCGGTGAATGCGGCACGAACCACCAAGGGATGGGCTCGGCGGGAGCATATCGCACGAGGACGAACCATGGCAAAACAGCTAGAAAAATTGTCCAAAGTGTGTCCAGAGAACTTTCTTTGCAGCGTGTACTTGATGAAAGCGGAACTGCTAGATCTGCGGGGAAAGGTATCTGCGTCCATGGAATTCTATTTGAAAGCAGCAGGCCAAGCCGAGAAAGAAGGGTATTTGCATGTCCTGGCCCTCGCGAACGAATACAATGGGTTGGCTTTCATCCGACGAGGAGGGATCCGACGAGGAGGGCTAGACCAGGGCAAAGACTTGTTGAATCAAGCTATTGCAGTATACAAAACATGGGGCGCCGCTGACATCGCCGCCAACAAGGAACAAATATACGCAGAGGTCGCAGCTATCAAATAATTAGACATCACATTTTTTTACAAAATCACACAAGCTGAAGGCATGCAATCGAACATGGAACCGGTGGGTTGGTACGAGTGCGTATCATCCATCAATCAGTACCTAGTTGTTGCGACCACCCTTTCTCGTAGCAACCATTGTAATGGATTCCAGAAACTCTCGTTTTTCCTCTTCGGTCAATTCATTGTACATCCAGGTGAGCTTCGGGACGCTGATAGTAGCAATCTTGACAAATGTATTGTAGTGGACCCACGTACACAGGGCCATCATGAATTGACAATCCATTCGATCCATGACACCTCCGTGTCCTGGAATGATACTGTCAAAGTCTTTGAGACGATAGGCACGCTTGATGGCGCTGGCCAAGAATCCACCAAAGGGTGCCACCAAGCTGGAAAACAGTGCCAATGAAAGTGCATGAATTTGAACAGGATAGACTGTCATTAACAATTCAAAGTGATGATGGGTGTGGCTTTTGTTGCCTGATACACAGGGTGTCAAAATGGGTTCAGATGATTCGCTGGTGCCATCGTCAACAACCGCTGAGCAGATCTGCACAACATTAGGAATGAGCTTGGACATCGACAGCGGCAGCAGTTCAAACATCTGGGATGGAAACCTCAATGTGGAGGGAACAAAGATGGGATCTGGTGTGCATTGCAGTGATGCAGGCCAGATGGCAAATTTGTTGGTTGGACAATACATCCAGGGGAATTGTGCCAGCAATTTGCTAATGTACCAAGCCGCAAAAATGGTACAGAGGCCACCACCAATAAAGCCCTATACAGAGAGAGAGAGAGAGAGAGAAACGAGACATAGTGACGATACCGGTAGCTCTCTGTCTCAATAAAGGTGTGCCACTCCCCACACAAACTCACCTCCCATGTTTTGTTGGGTGAAAAACTAATGAATGGTCGTCGGATGAATTTACGCCCACAAGTCATGCCACTCACATAGGCCATGATATCATTGGTAACCACCAGCAGAATGGGCAAGGCAAACCAGAAGAATCCATTGAGGATGTTGTGCATAATGTACTTGAGCTGCCCCACAGTAAGGCACAGGACCACAATGGTCCAACAAAGTTGATTGAGCTGGAATTTGATGTGTCCCACTTGCATTGTTGCAATCGTCATGACAAAGGTTCCACTGTAGAGCAAAAAGGACACGCTCGGCAAGAGGTTGGCATATTGGGAGAACCAATGAAGGTCTGGATTGCCTTGAACAATCATTTCTCGAAAGAAGTCTCCGTAGGTGTAGAAAATTGCCACGGCAAACCAGAGCCATTGGGTGGTACGAAAGAGAGGGATGGTGTCTTGGATGGTATTGAAGTAGGCACTGTATCGAACCTTGACCAGTTCTCGGAACTAGAGTTACAAGAGAGTAGAAAAGAGGCATCAGGCTCGATTTGTCAGCAAAAAATTTTGATTGCCCACTTTTTTCGCTACTCACCAGTAAAAGCTCCACCAGAGCCACCAACATGCAAATGTAAACATGGCCCATGTACATGAGTCCTAAGAAGGTCGTGATCATGAGCAAACTGGAAACGATTCGAACGACAATTTTTCGTTTCTTCCCTTCCGATTTGGCCACTTGTTGCTGTGCCTTGGCATTGGTCAAGTCACCAGTGGCATTGTGACGAGAACTGTCCTCCATTTTCCCGTCATCGGACGAAGAACGGGCCCTCAGGGGCATTTGTGTTCGCTCCATGGCCGGTTCCCCATTTTCCTGCAGTGCGGGGAGCTCAGTGACCGACTCATGACGACGGCCTCTGCTGCTGCTTCTGCTGCCAGGTGGACTGGACGACTGTGAGGCAGCCTGGTGGCGTTGACGAATTTCCGAACTCATCGTGGGCAGAAGAGGACGACACGATGAGTGGATGTATTGAATTCTACAATCGATAGATCGATAGAGAGAATCTCAGCGAAATTCAGCCTGGTTGCAGAACTTTCTGAATGAATAGAGAATCAGGGGGATCAGGCAATGCAATAGCCGACAAGGCAAGCCTCCAAGCCAAGGTCCTTCGCGAACGAAAGAGGCAACAGCGAAGCCAAACAATAAAAAAGAAGCATGGAACTTGAAGATCTTCTGTCAAGAGAGATTGGATCCTTTCCTCACGTCTTCTGTAATCTGCACAGCTTCAATGGCTTAATATTTGCCAGTTTGCATTGACGCATTCCAACTGTTGGCTGCGTAGTGCTACTATAGCCAAAGGTCCTGGTGTGGAAAGTCTATGCAGGTTTGTTTGTATCTTCCAGACAAGGACATGTATGTCTGTATCTAATCTTATTAGTTCACCGACAGCATCAGCTAGGTGTCGCGAGAAAAGGAGTGGTAAGATGGCGACTCAGAATTTAAAGAAGCGTCGACAATCATCGAGTGATCCATCGTCGATTGCTTCCCAATTCCAAGGCGTCATGGGTCGAGCTGGTCCGGGGCAGCCTCCTCGCGAGCGATTCGGGAAAACGTATAACTTGCCTTTTTCAGAGCTCAACTCGACGCAAAGAGCAGCGGCGAGTGAGGTTCTTGGAATTGCGGACGAAAAGGCGTGGGAGCTGGCCATGCCGCGGCGAGTCCAAGGGATGTGTGCTGTCACTGTCGTTTCATTTCAGACCAAGACATGGAGACAACTCTCGTCAGAACATCAAAAGTTGGCAACAGAGCAGCTGAGCCTGAATGAATCCCTTTGGAATGGTCAATTGGCCCCCTTTCATGACGATCTCTGGAAGATTCCAGGAATTACGTTGACTCCAGAAGAGTTTGTACCAGTTTTGAAGACCATCCAAAGGATGGGAACCAATCATGTGTTGACAAAGAAGGACGTGGCACAATTTCTGTGGAGCCTTCAAAGAGTTCTCCTGCCTTCTCAGGGAGTATTGATCGCCAAGACCCTCAAGTCATCTTCGAGTTGGGAAAGTCTCTTGGAGTCCACCAGAATCAGCGATCGCCGCTACAATACAAAATTCCACATTCATCTTGTAGTGGCGTGTTTTCTCACATTCCCACATCGCTTTGTCGACATGGGGCACACCCGGTTGAATTTATTTTGGGACGACGATTCTTGCGGCTGTGTCTGGGGAAATGCCTCTGAGGGGCAAGGCGACCATCATCAGCACCGGAAACCCTACCGCGAAGTGCTCCATGGTCCCCGGGTGCGACGTTGTGTAGCGTCCATTTTGACCGGGAAACTTCCTGAACGGGTCACTGAGAAATCACAGTTGCCAGTTCTGCCAAAATCAATTGTCAAGTGCATTTTGGACGATCTGTTGGGAGTGACTGGGCCAAAAGATCCGTTTCAAGTATCCTGGCTATCTGGATATGACGCCGAATTGACAATGTACTTTGAAACCAAAAAGAAAGCTCCGGAAAACCAGGAGCGAGTGAATGAAGGGAAATAGAGACAGTTCGATATCACAGCGACAACAATAAGCCCTCTAAAACATCGGAGACAGTGCCCAGATCATTGTTGAAACAGACAGAAAGGTGGGGACGTTCCATGACATCGAGCCAGGTACGCAGAAAGGAAACCGAACAAAATTTGATGCTTGGAAACAACACGGATTGAGACCGAAGAGTGATAAACAAGCTATAGATTTCACTGCAGCAACTCGGATCGGCGATGGGAGAGGCTAGATGCCAGCACTACCAAACTGGCATCACTACTAGGTAGGTTCTGCAAGTTCGAACTATCGGCAAATAGAACGATGTTTTCTTTGTTGAAATGCATTTTTATTTAGATTTGGAGAGGATCTTGCTGTCTCCGTCCCTGCTCTCCTCGACCCAGCATCAGCCACCGGGATGCGAGTTGCACAAATGATGGATGTTTGCTCCGTGTAGAAACTCTTTTCGATCTGACCTACTATCGGTACAAACAACCACATCAATCGCACAACGCCATCCCTGTTGCTGATGGTGGTTCCCCCGGTATGTAATTGAATGCAAAATGTGTATTCATGTTTCGCCTGTTGGCTTCGTCGCTTCAGATAAAAATGTAGGTGTCAATGATCCCCCAAGTGTGTTCACGTAGATGCTTGAGTTCTTGTATCGGTGAGTTCAAAAAAACCCGCCCACACAATAAAAAGCACAAACTGTCATTGCCGTGCACACGGCAGTCTAGCCGGTCTAGACCATGCCACGCAAGCCAGAAGGAGCGGTCATACCTCCAGTTTTCTTGACCATGCCTGTGGCAACATCTTCCTTCTCCAACAGCAAGGAATGCCCTTTGCCTTCCACGACAAGATTGGCCGGACGATCCTTGGCAAGCTTGGTTTGCTCCTGTTCCATGCGACACAGCACTTCGACACGACGAAGGAGCTCGGAGGAACTGTGCACGACCGAGCGCAAGTGCTTGGCCAGAGAATCAAAACTCTGGACTCCACGTCGCGATCCGTTCATCAAGTCATGGGCCCAAAAAGAATGGTAGCACTCCAGGGCGTGCTGCATCTGTTGGGCCGTCTGTGGCGGAACAATAATGTCGTCGTCCGCCAGGAGGTCGGTAGCGTTCGTTTGGGGCCACCACTTGTCCTTATTGCCAGTCGGTGGAGCATCGGTATCATGATCATCACAGAGAATGGTCCCGAGCGAATGTCCCGCCATGCTCTCGGTGAATTGAAGGGTGCTGGGAGGTGGCAAGAAATCCTTTTCGAGAATCACATTGTCGTCGGTGGCAGAACAATCCATGGCAAGAGGACTCATGCAATTCTCCTTGCGAGTGCTGACCGCACCCTGAACCAAACTCGCGGCCTTGGGTTCTTGGAGGTCCGATTTGGGACGAGCAGTCGTGGTGGCTGTCTTGGAGACTGTTGAAGATTCCGCCATGACAATCTCCTTGGGGACAGCTTCTGGCGGCGAGGGTTTTGTCTTGTGATGATTAGCGGCCTTCTCGGTCTCAGAGGACGTCCGACTGGCATTGGAAGACGTGGAAGTCGTCGTGAGGTCGTGGTGTTCCGGTTCTTGCTTGTCGTCGTTGGTCGTGTTCTTGTTCTTGTCAAAGGAGGAGCTTGAGGGACCGGGAGAAAAAGGCACGACTGTCTTGGTGACCACCACGTCGTCTTCGATATCCATCTGGTTGACAAGAGAAGCAGACGATTCATCTTGGTCGTGTTCACTGCTGCTCGCATTATTAGTCGTAGGCGTGTTCTTGGCTTTGCCAATGCCAAATTTGAATCGATAGGCTTCATCTCGCAAAAAGCCCATGATACGGGCCATCATCAACTTGTGGTCCGTCTGATTGGCAGGAAGCAATTGCCGAATGACCAGGGCTTTCGTCTTTGGCTGAGTTTTCTTCAGGTCCAACTTGAAGAATCGGCCGCCATTCTTGGTAATGCCATTTACAATGTACTGGGTGGCAAACTCCACCTTGGCGTGTGTCGAGCCAGTTTCCAGGTAGCCAATAAAGTGCCTCGTAATCAAGCGACGAAACTCGGACTGATCGGGCATCTTGGACGGGGCACCGGTGCATCCAAAAATGACATCCTTGAGGGGATCCACCTTGTCGGCCGCAAAAATACCATTTAGCATTTCCTCCAACTCCTTGTTGTTCTTGGTCGTGGTGCTCCACTTGGTCTTGTTCTTATTCTTGGCCTTTTGGTTGGTCTTGACGCTCTGATTCTTGTTGTTGTTGTTGGTCATGGTGGAGTTTAGTTGTTGGATGGTTGATCAGAGCGAGTTATGAGAGAGGAGGAGGAGAGAAAAAGAAAAATGCGAGAGAAGCGACAGAGGTGAGAGAAAGCAAATCGAAAGCTGCGAAAGATCGAGCCAGCTGGCTAGATTTTTCGAGTGTCGTCGTCAGCTCGTGGTCCGTGGTCACATTATTTGTAGCAGCCAAAATGTCCGATGGCAGATGTTCTTCGCCTCTTTCTGCCCATCTCATTCCACTGCAATAAATAAACCCAAGTGTGGTTGAAGAAGAACCCACATCGTTTTCCGATAGGCACGTGCCGAATATACCAACAAATCTTCGGATACTCAAACCGCGGGAGTTGGCCAACCACCAACCTATCACTTACATGTAGCGAATTACGTACTTGTGGCTTGTGATCCAGCTTTCTCCCTTGCAGCTTCTCTACAGAAGTACGAAGCTCAGTCCAGCTCGACTCAAGCTGTTCAGCATTCTTCTTGCTAGAGCCAGGGTGGGTTCAGTCCAGCTCGAACTGCTTTCGCAGCCATGCTTCTTGCTAGAGCCACGGTTCTAGCTAGTAGGGTGAACATTCCAGTTGCATGTCCAGTGGGCCATTGACAATCCACAAAGACTTGCTGGCCCCATCCAGAACACAAGCTTGAATCTATTGCACTTGAGTAAGTATTGTAACAGGTACTAGAGTAGAGTCTATGGCTTTCAGCAGTCTATGGAGGCTTCCAGTGGCAACATCCACAGGCTATCCATTGCAGCGACTTCACTCGACAACTTCCTCAGCTTTAAAGAAATCTGGGTGTAGCTTAATGTAGGCAAACTCAACCCCGTTTCCCTGTCATGTTCCAACATACAAAAAGTCAGGTCAAAGTGAGCACACGAAAGTAAGAATCTAATTGACTGCCACCACAGAAAGAGATCCAATCAAAACATACAGGACCTTCAACATACCTGTGCCAATGGATGAATGTTGGGCTCCTTGCTGAACATTGCAAAGCCTGCCTTTTCAAGGCCATCAAAGAATTTATTGGGAGAGAGAGACATGGAGACCGGAAAGTACCGTCCGCCTTTGTTCTTCTGAGGGTCTGGTAGCGATGTTGGAAGATTGTGCACTTCCAGGAGCAACTGTCGAATGTCCAACTCGGGTTTCAACCAATCCTCATAGGTGAACCATTCACAGAATTCACAATCGATCTTGAGAATGTCAATAGTGTAGCCAGTGTGACCCAGCTTCTCCATGATTTCTGGAAGTGTAAAGAGTCGATCCCGTTGTTTGACCCTCCAGGCATCAAGCAAGCTGTCATCATAGCTGCTTTTCAGACCCCACTGATGAAAATGAATGTTGAGCTCACTGGCATGGCCTTCTTTCGTGTAGTTTTTACTGAAATCAAACACATGGATTTCACAAGTACTTTGTTGAGTCGTTTGTCCTTCTTTCATAAAGGACTTGGCCAAGGCTTCCTCCCATTCGTACTTTCCTGCAGATCCAACAGAATAGATCAGGCAATTTGTTTGTTCCTTACTGTTTGACCGTAGCCCTCCTTGAGCTTTTTCTTTTCGTTCTCTTGCCACACGTTCCAGTCGATGGGGATCACAGGTCCACTTTGGGCCATCACCTTGTCCACCCACCCTTCGTGGATGGGGACAAGTAAAGAGAGGATCATAGTTATTCATATAGTAGACTGCTGGCATGATGTTTGGCCTGGGATTTGGCCGTTTCTCATCCGGGTGGTCATGGTGAGTTTGGAACCGTTGTTTGTATAGCTTCCAATCTTTGGATGAAATGTCATCAAAGAATCCATAGCTTTGATAGGATGCCAAGTGAAACTCGTTGTGGTGCAATGCAGGCAGCGTTTCATCTGTGGTGGCAATGCGAGAAACCCCAAAATCTCTTTGCAAAAATTGGAGGGTGAAGAGTGAGGCCACCAAGGCTAGACCCAAGATTTTAGCCGGGGCGCTGATATGAGTTGACGATGGAGTCCTCCTGCTGGTATCGGTACCTATTTCCTCGGTAGATGGGTTCGATTCTATCATCATCTTTGCTATCTTTGACCTGTCCGGAAGCGGAGCGAGCTTGGCTGGAAATTGTGCTCTTAGGGACCACAGCGGCTTCTAAAGACCATCTGGCGAAAAAAAATTTGTTTCTGTGCCAGCTTCGCACCTGGCAGAAAAATGTGCGTGCTCTCACTGCTTTGGCGACTTCTCGCAGAACTATAGAATCGTAGCAGAGAGCCTTGTACCGTACTAACTAGACTACAAGCTAGTAAACTAGCTAACTTGTCTCGGTACCACTGACCTATTTCTCATAGCTAGCTAGAAGCAGTATCCAAGATATCTCAGATGTTGGTTCTTGTCCATATGTACTCCCATATGTACTCTTGCCGCCCATGGGGATTTGAAGGCTCAAGAGTCCACGGCGTCCCCGGGCAGCCCTTGCTCAACAAATACTTAGTAGCTGGAAGTACGAGTGGATCAGGGCTATCGACGCCAACAACGAGCACACAACCCCTTGCTTGTTGTCAGTGCGAAACTGGTTCTACGTAAACCCAACCGGTGCAGAAAGCATCTCTCTTAGTTTCCTTCTACGGTAGTACGGACTGAAAGAAAGACGCCCACGAAATCCCATTTAGTTACACCCCACACCAAAGGTCCCGCATCCTACCATTATCCATCTTTGCGCAATCGTTTTGGGGGCGGTGCTGTTTCTTCATGAGATAATCCCGCACTTGCTTCCTGCTTCCTCTTGGCCATGATGGCTTTGCGGCACTTTTCACTAGCCAGTCGCACCCGATCCATTTTGTCTCCCAATAGCACCAGGTCGTCTCGTGCCCCTTGCAGATTTTGCAGCAAAGATACCATGGTCATTCGTAGGGTTCGGACCACTTGCAGTTCCTGATCCAATCGTTTGTCATAGTCACAGTCACTACTGCCTTTATCATCACCACCATTAGAGCCTTTTTCTTCTTGTGTATTGCTGCTCATGCCAATTCTCTTGTATTGATGTAATAATAAAGGTACTTGTAGGCAAGAAAAGAGAATCGAATCCCAATCCTCTGTTGCAACAGCGGAAGGGAATGCTACCATCAACGCGTGGCTTCGAAAGAGCAGTGCTTGGTTGGGTTGTTGCCACTTTCACTTTGTGAATCTATTTATCAATTGCAGCAAAAAGTCAATTGCAGCAAAAGTCTTCAATTCGATTCGGATTCGATAGGTTCGCATCTCATTCTCATTCGGCGGTCCCGAAAGGACAAATGAGAGGGAAGATCTGACCCGGTTTTGACAATGTATGTATCACCCCAATCCGGGGTCAATAATATGAGCTACGGAAGCTACCAGGGGAAGTCACACTCGGAGCCGAGTGAGTAAGCTTGAAGGAGATCCAAGAATTTCATAGCTTACCCCCGTGTGGGTCTGAAATATAACGTCTAGTTCTGTTTGCGTTGAAGCTAACGGTGTGAAAGTACGTAAAACATTAAGGTGGTGGAGAATGTGGTGAACAGATTTTTTTAGGGTTAAGATTCTTTTGCTGCTGCGCTGCCTAGCATATGTGTGACTCCGTCATTTCTTAGTTTTTTGGTTTGAGTGTTTGCACAAGATATGGATACAGTAGTGTTGTCTGGGTAGTAACAATTCCAGTCAGGACCTTAGGAATGTTACCATTTTTGAATCCTATGCCCAGTGGGCATGAGTTTCAAGGACGGGTGAATGTGATTGTGTAGGCATTTTTGTGGAGCATGGGTTGTTAGAGGCAAGTCAAAGCACACCATCAAACGAAAACGAAAATGAAAATGAAAATGAAAACCAAAACCAAAACCAAAACCAAACAAAGATGGAAAAGAAAGTAATAAACTGCCAAACCAGACTACCAAGCCAAATACATTATCTTTCGAATCTGGTGCCCATTGGGCATGCTATTCAATAACCTTAACCCTATTACTTCAATGTACGTTAAATCCACATTTCTGGCCCGCGGTCCTCCTCCGTTGTTGTTTTGAGAGGATGATCCCCCAAGTGTGTTCACGTAGATGCTTGAGTTCTTGTATCGGTGAGTTCAAAAAAACCCGCCCACACAATAAAAAGCACAAACTGTCATTGCCGTGCACACGGCAGTCTAGCCGGTCTAGACCATGCCACGCAAGCCAGAAGGAGCGGTCATACCTCCAGTTTTCTTGACCATGCCTGTGGCAACATCTTCCTTCTCCAACAGCAAGGAATGCCCTTTGCCTTCCACGACAAGATTGGCCGGGCGAGCCTTGGCAAGTTTCTGTTTTTCTTGTTCCATGCGACACAACACTTCGACACGACGAAGGAGCTCGGAGGAACTGTGCACGACCGAGCGCAAGTGCTTGGCCAGAGAATCAAAACTCTGGACTCCACGTCGCGATCCGTTCATCAAGTCATGGGCCCAAAAGGAATGGTAGCACTCCAGCGCGTGCTGCATCTGCTGGGCCGTCTGTGGCGGAATAATAATGTCGTCGTCCGCCAGTAGGTCGGTAGCGTTCGTGTGGGGCCACCACTTGTCCTTATTGCCAGTCGTTGGAGCATCGGTATCATTATCTTCACAGAGAATGGTCCCGAGAGAATGTCCCGCCATGCTCTCGGTGAATTGAAGGGTGCTGGGAGGTGGCAAGAAATCCTTTTCGAGAATCACATTGTCGTCGGTGGCAGAACAATCCATGGCAAGAGGACTCATGCAATCCTCCTTGCGAGTGCTGACCGCACCCTGAACCAAACTCGCGGCCTTGGGTTCTTGGAGGTCCGATTTGGGACGAGCAGTCGTGGTGGCTGTCTTGGAGACTGTTGAAGATTCCGCCATGACAATCTCCTTGGGGACAGCTTCTGGCGGCGAGGGTTTTGTCTTGTGATGATTAGCGGCCTTCTCGGTCTCAGAGGACGTCCGGCTGGCATTGGAAGACGTGGAAGTCGTCGTGAGGTCGTGGTGTTCCGGTTCTTGCTTGTCGTCGTTGGTCGTGTTCTTGTTCTTGTTCTTGTCACAGGAGGAGCTTGAGGGACCGGGAGAAAAAGGCACGACTGTCTTGGTGACCACCACGTCGTCTTCGATATCATCTGGTTGACAAGAGAAACGGACGATTCATCTTGGTCGTGTTCACTGCTGATCGCATTATTAGTCGTAGGCGTGTTCTTGGATTTGCCAATGCCAAATTTGAATCGATAGGCTTCGTCTCGCAAAAAGCCCATGATACGGGCCATCATCAACTTGTGGTCCGTCTGATTGGCAGGAAGCAATTGTCGAATGACCAGGGCTTTTGTCTTTGGGTGAGTTTTCTTCAGGTCCAACTTGAAGAATCGGCCGCCATTCTTGGTAATGCCATTCACAATGTACTGCGTGGCAAACTCCACCTTGGCGTGTGTCGAGCCAGTTTCCAGGTAGCCAATAAAGTGCCTCGTAATCAAGCGACGAAACTCCGACTGATCGGGCATCTTTGACGGGGCACCGGTGCATCCAAAAATGACATCCTTGAGGGGATCCACCTTGTCGGCCGCAAAAATGCCCTTCAGCATTTCCTCCAACTCCTTGTTGTTCTTGGTCGTGGTGCTCCACTTGGTCTTGTTCTTATTCTTGGCCTTTTGGTTGGTCTTGTTTACACTCTGATTCTTGTTGTTGTTGTTGGTCATGTGGAGTTTAGTTGTTGGATGGTTGAATGTCGAGTTATGAGAGAGGAGGAGGAGAGAAAAAGAAAAATGCGAGAGAAGCGGCAGAGGTGGGAGAAGCGGCAAATCGAAAGCTGCGAAAGATCGAGCCAGCTGGCTAGATTTTTCGAGTGTCGTCGTCAGCTCGTGGTCCGTGGTCACACTTGAAGAGCCAAAATGTCCGATGGCAGATGTTCTTCGCCTCTGTCTGACCATCTCATTCCAATGCAATAAATAAACCCAAGTGTGGTTGAAGAAGAACCCACATCGTTTTCCGATAGGCACGTGCCCAATCAATATAATTACCCAACAAATCTTCGGATACTCAAACCGCGGGAGTTGGCCAACCACCAACCTATCAGTTACATGTAGCGAATTACGTACTTGTGGCTTGTGATCCAGCTTTCTCCCTTGCAGCTTCTCTACAGAAGTACAAAGCTCAGTCCAGCTCGACAAGCTGTTGACATTCTTCTTGCTAGAGCCAGGGTTCAGTCCAGCTCGAACTGCTTTTGCAGCCATGCTTCTTGCTAGAGCCACGGTTCTAGCTAGTAGGGTGGGCACTTCAGTTGCATGTCCAGTGGGCCATCGGCAATCCACAAAGACTTGCTGGCCCCGTCAGAACACAAGCTTGAATCTATTGCACTTGAGTAAATATTATAACAGGTACTAGAGTAGAGTCTATGGCTTTCAGCAGTCTATGGAGGCTTCCAGTGGCAACATCCACAGTGGCAACATCCACAGGCTATCCATTGCAGCAGCTTTACTCAACAGCTTCCTCAGCTTTAAAGAAATCTGGGTGTAGCTTAATGTAGGCAAACTCAACCCCGTTTCCCTGTCATGTTCCAAGATACAAAAAGTCAGGTCAAAGTGAGCACATGGAAGCAAGAATCTCATCGAGTGCCATCCAATCTTCAAACATACCTGTGCCAGTGGATGAATGTTGGGCTCTTTGCTGAACATTGCAAAGCCTGCCTTTTCAAGGCCATCAAAGAATTTATTGGGAGAGAGTGACATGGAAACCGGAAAGTACCGTCCGCCTTTGTTCTTCTGAGGGTCTGGTAGCGATGTTGGAAGATTGTGCACTTCCAGGAGCAACTGTCGAATGTCCAACTCGGGTTTCAACCAATCCTCATAGGTGAACCATTCACAGAATTCACAATCAATCTTGAGAATGTCAATAGTGTAGCCAGTGTGACCCAGCTTCTCCATGATTTCCGGAAGTGTAAAGAGTCGATCCCTTTGTTTGACCCTCCAGGCATCAAGCAAGCTGTCATCATAGCTGCTTTTCAGACCCCACTGATGAAAATGAATGTTGAGCTCGCTGGCATGGCCTTCTTTCGTGTAGTTTTTACTGAAATCAAACACATGGATTTCACAAGTGCTTTGTTGAGTCGTCTGTCCTTCTTTCATAAAGGACTTGGCCAAGGCTTCCTCCCATTCGTACTTTCCTGCAGATCCAACAGAATAGATCAGGCAATTTGTTTGTTCCTTACTGTTTGACCGTAGCCCTCCTTGAGTCTTTTCTTTTCGTTCTCTTGCCACACGTTCCAGTCGATGGGGATCACAGGTCCACTTTGGGCCATCACCTTGTCCACCCACCCTTCGTGGATGGGGACAAGTAAAGAGAGGATCATAGTTATTCATATAGTAGACTGCTGGCATGATGTTTGGCCTGGGATTTGGCCGTTTCTCATCCGGATGGTCATGATGAGTTTGGAACCGTTGTTTGTATAGCTTCCAATCTTTGGATGAAATGTCGTCAAAGAATCCATAGCTTTGATAGGATGCCAAGTGAAACTCGTTGTGGTGCAATGCAGGCAACGTTTCATCTGTGGTGGCAATGCGAGAAACCCCAAAATCTCTTTGCAAAAATTGGAGGGTGAAGAGTGAGGCCACCAAGGCTAGACCCAAGATTTTAGCCGGGGCGCTGATATGAGTTGACGATGGAGTCCTCCTGCTGGTATCGGTACCTATTTCCTCGGTAGATGGGTTCGATTCTATCATCATCTTTGCTATCTTTGACCTGTCCGGAAGCGGAGCGAGCTTGGCTGGAAATTGTGCTCTTAGGGACCACAGCGGCTTCTAAAGACCATCTGGCGAAAAAAAATTTGTTTCTGTGCCAGCTTCGCACCTGGCAGAAAAATGTGCGTGCTCTCACTGCTTTGGCGACTTCTCGCAGAACTATAGAATCGTAGCAGAGAGCCTTGTACCGTACTAACTAGACTACAAGCTAGTAAACTAGCTAACTTGTCTCGGTACCACTGACCTATTTCTCATAGCTAGCTAGAAGCAGTATCCAAGATATCTCAGATGTTGGTTCTTGTCCATATGTACTCCCATATGTACTCTTGCCGCCCATGGGGATTTGAAGGCTCAAGAGTCCACGGCGTCCCCGGGCAGCCCTTGCTCAACAAATACTTAGTAGCTGGAAGTACGAGTGGATCGGCTATCGACGCCAACAACGAGCACACAACCCCTTGCTTGTTGTCAGTGCGAAACTGGTTCTACGTAAACCCAACCGGTGCAGAAAGCATCTCTCTTAGTTTCCTTCTACGGTAGTACGGACTGAAAGAAAGACGCCCACGAAATCCCATTTAGTTACACCCCACACCAAAGGTCCCGCATCCTACCATTATCCATCTTTGCGCAATCGTTTTGGGGGCGGTGCTGTTTCTTCATGAGATAATCCCGCACTTGCTTCCTGCTTCCTCTTGGCCATGATGGCTTTGCGGCACTTTTCACTAGCCAGTCGCACCCGATCCATTTTGTCTCCCAATAGCACCAGGTCGTCTCGTGCCCCTTGCAGATTTTGCAGCAAAGATACCATGGTCATTCGTAGGGTTCGGACCACTTGCAGTTCCTGATCCAATCGTTTGTCATAGTCACAGTCACTACTGCCTTTATCATCACCACCATTAGAGCCTTTTTCTTCTTGTGTATTGCTGCTCATGCCAATTCTCTTGTATTGATGTAATAATAAAGGTACTTGTAGGCAAGAAAAGAGAATCGAATCCCAATCCTCTGTTGCAACAGCGGAAGGGAATGCTACCATCAACGCGTGGCTTCGAAAGAGCAGTGCTTGGTTGGGTTGTTGCCACTTTCACTTTGTGAATCTATTTATCAATTGCAGCAAAAAGTCAATTGCAGCAAAAGTCTTCAATTCGATTCGGATTCGATAGGTTCGCATCTCATTCTCATTCGGCGGTCCCGAAAGGACAAATGAGAGGGAAGATCTGACCCGGTTTTGACAATGTATCACCCCAATCCGGGGTCAATAATATGAGCTACAAGCTACCAGGGGAAGTCACACTCGGAGCCGAGTGAGTAAGCTTGAAGGAGATCCAAGAATTTCATAGCTTACCCCCGTGTGGGTCTGAAATATAACGTCTAGTTCTGTTTGCGTTGAAGCTAACGGTGTGAAAGTACGTAAAAATTAAGGTGGTGGAGAATGTGGTGAACAGATTTTTTTAGGGTTAAGATTCTTTTGCTGCTGCGCTGCCTAGCATATTGTGTGACTCCGTCATTTCTTAGTTTTTTGGGTTTGAGTGTTTGCACAAGATATGGATACAGTAGTGTTGTCTGGGTGTAACAATTCCAGTCAGGACCTTAGGAATGTTACCATTTTTGAATCCTATGCCCAGTGGGCATGAGTTTCAAGGAAGCGTGAATGTGATTGGTAGCATTTGTGGAGCATGGGTTGTTAGAGGCAAGTCAAAGCACACCATCAAACGAAAACGAAAATGAAAATGAAAATGAAAACCAAAACCAAAACCAAAAACCAAACAAAGATGGAAAAGAAAGTAATAAACTGCCAAACCAGACTACAAGCCAAATACATTATCTTTCGAATCTGGTGCCCATTGGGCATGCTATTCAATAACCTTAACCTATTACTTCAATGTACTTAAATCCACATTTCTATGCAGTCATATTCATCTTAAGTACGTCTTGCACCATCTACTTGAAGGCAACTTGCAATAAGTCTATAAAAGCCTTAGTTTGACCAGTAACTGTTTTCCAATGGCATGCTCTTGCTATTATATCATCATGTATATTATATAAATCTAAGAATGAACATGCTTGCCTAAGTAAATATCCAAGTTTTGCCTATGTCACATTTTGGATAAAATGTATCTATATCTGAGACTTTTATGCATTAAATAGGACAATTGCCTTTTTGGCTGGCTTTCTGCATTAAATTTCTCCAGCTACTAAGATACGGGTAATGCTCGATTCAGCTGAAATGCCAAATGCTACAAAATTAGCTAAATACTCAAAATGATAGTTCTAGCGCCACATCACCAGACAGACCACACGGGGTTCATCACAAGTCCCAGACCCAGACCAGTCCCAGCATCTACATTGTCCATATATATATATAAGAAGTTAGTTCTATCTCTTCCATGCCATGAAACCCAACACCTCGGGGAGTGCCACATTCGATGTTTGCTATAGCTGTAGCAACAGTTGATTGATACCACAAGGTTAGAAGTGGCCCATGAACATGCCTCCCACAGAAGATTCTTCTTGTATAGCATAGAAACATGGAACAAAACAAGCAACATAACATGCAGGCTGAGAGGGCCATGAAGGCTCAACACTGGTTGGCTACATATGGGGTACCCCTTTCTAGTACTAATCTACACGAACTATTAGAAACTGGTAAACCAACCACATTGATCTGGCTCGGGGGGGGGTAGTCCCCAATTCTTGCTCCATCGAGGAATCAAGGAATTCCTGCACTCCTGGAATATCTAGAGAGCTCAAAGGAATCCAAGGAATAAGGAGGGAGGAACTAAGCCTCAAACACGCACCCATCCATCTTGACCTTCATATTGTATCTTTGAGTTTTTGTTGTGAACAATGCATTAACCCCATGGATCCTCCATGTGCAGGGTTATGACATCACGCCTGTTGGCATGGTTGCGCTTGCACTTTGTGTCTTCAATTCGATTCGACTCGGATTCGATTCGATCGATAGGTTCGATTCTCATTCGGAAGATAGGATCAAATGAGAGTCCTTTAGAACTCGTTAGAAAAGGAGGGCAGTAAGGCGTGGCAGAAGAGGTCTAACTCACACAACCCGAAGGCCGCGCCTATTGCCCCAAAGTTACTGCCGTCAGCATTTGCCACACAATCTCCATCGAATTCCGATCGATATCTACAAGACTGGCGCTTTTGCAACTACACCATCACAAATTCACAACCTTTCCTCTTTCTTTTACTTACTCACTGCAGTTGACTTTCTCTCCAGCTGGAGGACAACAACAACGCATTGCTGATTGAGGTGTGTCAGTGGTTGGTCAAGAACAATTACGCACTCTTCCATTTTTTCCAACGCCTCCTCCATCCCATCTGCTACCCATTCCATTCTATTGTTATTTGAACATGACTTCCAACAAGTGCCTTTTGTGAAGACACATTAAAACCCCCGGCTACAGCAACTGTCCAGTAGCAATGACGACAATTACGTGGACGATTTCGACGCTTCGCCTTGTGTCCTTAAAGACAGAGTCTTTTGCGGGTTCCAATCGCGACGATGACGATGAAGCCGAGGCCGCCGAACGATTGAGTGTCCGACTCCTTGCCGTTCCGGTGACGATGAAGAAGCACACGATCGGATCTTGCGAGAGTCCTTGAATTTTGTGCGCTTTCCACGGAAGCCCAAAAACGAAAATCGATTCGCGCGCAACAACAAGCCGGTGGACGCATTGGGACCATGGTGGTCATTGTCCTCATTGGATTGGCATTGTTGGGAGTGGCACTCTATGCCGGAGCCAAAGTGATTGGACCTGCCAGTCAACCGTTGGGACCCTACGAGTTGGTAGAGAGACAGGTACGTTAGAGCAATACAACATGCTAACTGAAGAGAGTGGCATATTTTTGATCTGACTTGTTCCACTATATACTATGCGAACTCCTCCTTTGGGAACTGTGACGTTTCTTGCAAAAACCACGTGGTCACTTGTTTGACTATTTTTATGCCATGCGATCATACTATCTATATTATAGGAAGGAGAGGATTTCTTCAACTTTTATAGCTTTTATGAAGGCCTGTTCTGTGGGGTCCAATGGATACCTCATGTATTAACGAAGACAAGGCAATCCATGGGGCTGGCCAATGTCACTACGAAAAGGACGTTCTGGACTTTTTGCACAGCGGAACACGACAACAGGGCAAGGTCATTGGCGATGATGATGATGACGACATTGATATTGCCATGGAAGGTGCCACTCCCCCACCCGCCGATGCGTCCAAAAAGGAACTTCATTTCATGGGATCCGCTCCTACGGATGCCGGTCCTCGTGATTCCATTCGATTAGAAGGAAAACGACGGTTCAATCGAGGATTGTTCATTATCGACGTCCGACACATGCCCGCCGGATGCGGTGTTGGCCCGCCTTTTGGTTAACCGACGAAGCCAACTGGCCCGTCAATGGAGAAATTGATATCATTGAAGGCGTCAATTATCAATCGAACGCCAAGACGGCACTCCATTCCACCAAGGGATGTGTCATGGATGACATTCCTGCCGGGACCATGACGGGAGGATGGGATACCGCCGTGGGCATTCCCGATCGCAAAACGGGCATTCCCGACATGACCATGCGATATGCCCAAAATTGTTTTGTCTACGATCCCCATCAATGGCTCAATCAGGGATGTGTCGCGGTCGATGAACGCAATGGAACCATTGGTATTCCACTGAATCAAAAGGGTGGTGGAGTCTATGCCTTGGAATGGGATCCCATTTATCGGCATATGCGCACGTGGGTCTTTACACCTCACAAGTCGGTACCGGATAATTTGAGAGATGCCATTCGCACTGCCAATCTACCACCGGATCAACGCGTCTTGCCCGATCCCGATCTGTGGCCCATTCCCTATGGGTACTTTGCCATTGGTAAGCAACAAGAAAAACAGTGAACGCCAAGCTTCCAATGGATCGATCTTTCCTAACAGCTTTCTTTCTTTCACCATTATTTGTTGACACAGGCGAAGGAACCAACTGTGCCGCGAATCATTTCAAAAATATGCGTCTTGTGTTCAACCTGGCATTTTGTGGATCCGTCGCGGGAAATAGGTTTCAAATGGATTGCCCGGCGCAGGCGGCACAGTTTGCCACCTGCAATGAATACGTGGCCAGTCAGCCGGAAGAATTGAACGAAGCCTACTGGAAAATCAGAGGGGTCTATGTCTATGAACGATCGTGGGAACGAGCCTGGATGAAGTAATTTAGACAAGAAACAAGGATGAATAAGAGGAAGACGTGCAGACGCAGCTCCAGTTATGGCTGGTGTGAGAGGTTCTTTTGCTGAGACAGTCTTGTTTTACGGAATCTGTCGGATTGATCCATATTCAACCACTTGCTAGCGACGCTGTCACAAACCCTGATACATGCACTGGATGCATCCGACAATTCCCACTCTACCTGTTCGGCACTGCAGGAGAAGCTGATCCTGAAACTGCAAGTGGGGCTCACGGAGCGCTTGGCAACAAGAAAGAGATTTCGTGAAACTGATGCATCCAGTGGTATTCGAGGAATCTCCTTCGGCTACGAACGCCGCACATCGATGTAATGACGGGGCTAATTGCTCTACAACTTAATATGTACCAACCAGCCAACCCGTCTAAAATAGCAGAGAACTGCTTCAACTTGTCCAAACGTCGTCTGACATTATTCCAACAAAATAATCGTTCCATCAATCGTTTGGGTTTGTCTCCTTGGATCCCGCTTGCTCGAGCAAAAACAGCATCGTGCGACACAACAGGAATTCAACCACCAGTTTTTTCTGATTCGTACAACCGACACAGTACAAGCAACGGCACTGTCGCTACTTCTCGACCTCGAACGCATAAACGTGCTTCAGCACCGACCTGACTACCATGGCGACAGCAGTGGCCATTTCGACCGGGACAGAGTTTCCAATCTGGCGGCGTTGGTCCGTTTGCTTTCCTTTGAACTTGTATCCAGCAGGGTACGAGAAAAGGGCTGCTGCCTCTGCAATGGTAATCCTCCGATTCAATCTGTAATGGAAAGGAAGGGGTTTGCTGGCCCGGATGGTGCATGCGGTTGCGTTGGGATCCAATTTAATGTCATGCTCAGTCGGTCCGGGACCATGCTCCCCCGTTGCGACGTCCTCCTCACCAGAAAAGCATTCAAGGGCGTCTCGAACCGTAACCTGAGAAGTTGAAAACGTGCCCAGACTGTGTGTCTTCTCCGGAATCAAGGGCAGGTAGGCCTCTCTGCGAGCTGCAAAGATGAAGATCCTTGGTCTCTTCTGCGGGTCCCCAAAGTCACATGCTTCGAGTTTGCAGCAACGCACTTGATATCCAATACGCAAAAGCTTGATGAGAATGTTTTTTAGATAGTGGATATTCTTGCTTCGCCAGATCCCAGTGACGTTCTCGATGTGGCAGTGACAGGGCCCGAAAGATGGAAAAGAAAGTAATAAACTGCCAAACCAGACTACCAAGCCAAATACATTATCTTTCGAATCTGGTGCCCATTGGGCATGCTATTCAATAACCTTAACCCTATTACTTCAATGTACGTTAAATCCACATTTCTATGCAGTCATAGTTCATCTTAAGTACGTCTTGCCACCATCTACTTGAAGGCAACTTGCAATAAGTCTATAAAAAGCCTTAGTTTGACCAGTAACTGTTTTCCAATGGCATGCTCTTGCTATTATATCATCATGTATATTATATAAATCTAAGTAATGAACATGCTTGCCTAAGTAAATATCCAAGTTTTGCCTATGTCACATTTTGGATAAAATGTATCTATATCTGAGGACTTTTATGCATTAAATAGGACACTTGCCTTTTTGGCTGGCTTTCTGCATTAAATTTCTCTAGCTACTAAGATACGGGTAATGCTCGATTCAGCTGAAATGCCAAAATGCTACAAAATTAGCTAAATACTCAAAATGATAGTTCTAGGCGCCACATCACCAGACAGACCCACACGGGGTTGATCACAAGTCCCAGACCCAGACCCAGTCCCAGCATCTACATTGTCCATATATATATATAAGAAGTTAGTTCTATCTCTTCCATGCCATGAACCCCAACACCTCGGGGAGTGCCACATTCGATGTTTGCTATAGCTGTAGCAACAGTTGATTGCTATACCACAAGGTTAGAAGTGGCCCATGAACATGCCTCCCACAGAAGATTGACTTCTTGTATAGCATAGAAACATGGAACAAAACAAGCAACATAACATGCAGGCTGAGAGGGCCATGAAGGCTCAACACTGGTACTGGCTACATATGGGGTACCCCTTTCTAGTACTAATCTACACGAACTATTAGAACACTGGTAAACACCAACCACATTGATCTGGCTCAGGGGGGGGGGTAGTCCCCAATTCTTGCTCCATCGAGGAATCAAGGAATTCCTGCACTCCTGGAATATCTAGAGAGCTCAAAGGAATCCAAGGAATAAGGAGGGAGGAACTAAGCCTCAAACACGCACCCATCCATCTTGACCTTCATATTGTATCTTTGAGTTTTTGTTGTGAACAATGCATTAACCCCATGGATCCTCCATGTGCAGGGTTATGACATCACGCCTGTTGGCATGGTTGCGCTTGCACTTTGTGAATCTTCAATTCGATTCGACTCGGATTCGATTCGATTCGATAGGTTCGATTCTCATTCGGAAGATAGGATCAAATGAGAGTCCTTTAGAACTCGTTAGAAAAGGAGGGCAGTAAGGCGTGGCAGAAGAGGTCTAACTCACACAACCCGAAGGCCGCGCCTATTGCCCCAAAGTTACTGCCGTCAGCATTTGCCACACAATCTCCATCGAATTCCGATCGATATCTACAAGACTGGCGCTTTGCAACTACACCCATCACAAATTCACAACCTTTCCTCTTTCTTTTACTTACTCACTGCAGTTGACTTTCTCTCCAGCTGGAGGACAACAACAACGCACTTGCTGATTGAGGTGTGTCAGTGGTTGGTCAAAAGAACAATTACAGCACTCTTCCATTTTTTCCAAAACGCCCATCCTCCATCCCATCTGCTACCCATTCCACCATTCTATTGTTATTTGAACATGACTTCCAAACAAGTGGCCTTTTGTGAAACAGACCCATTAAAACCCCCGGCTACAGCAACTGTCCAGTATGGCAATGACGACAATTACGTGGACGATTTCGACGCTTCTTCGGAAGCCTTTGTGTCCTTAAAGACAGAGTCTTTTGCGGGTTCCAATCGCGACGATGACGATGAAGCCGAGGCCGCCGAACGATTGAGTGTCCGACTCCTTGCCGTTCCGGATGACGATGAAGAAGCACACGATCGGATCTTGCGAGAGTCCTTGAATTTCGTGGCGTTGTCGACCGAAGCCCAAAAACGAAAATCGATTCGCGCGCAACAACAAGCCGGTGGACGCATTGGGACCATGGTGGTCATTGTCCTCATTGGATTGGCATTGTTGGGAGTGGCACTCTATGCCGGAGCCAAAGTGATTGGACCTGCCAGTCAACCGTTGGGACCCTACGAGTTGGTAGAGAGACAGGTACGTTAGAGCAATACAACATGCTACCTGAAGAGAGTGGCATATTTTTGATCTGACTTGTTCCACTATATACTATGCGAACTCCTCCTTTGGGAACTGTGACGTTTCTTGCAAAAACCACGTGGTCACTTGTTTGACTATTTTTCATGCCATGACGAAATCATACTATCTATATTATAGGAAGGAGAGGATTTCTTCAACTTTTATAGCTTTTATGAAGGCCGTGATTCTGTGGGGTCCAATGGATACCTCATGTACATTAACGAAGACAAGGCGAAATCCATGGGGCTGGCCAATGTCACATACGAAAAGGACGTTCTGGACTTTTATGCACAGCGAGAACACGACAAACAACAGGGCAAGGTCATTGGCGATGATGATGATGACGACATTGATATTGCCATGGAAGGTGCCACTCCCCCACCCGCCGATGCGTCCAAAAAGGAACCCTTCATTTACATGGGATCCGCTCCTACGGATGCCGGTCCTCGTGATTCCATTCGATTAGAAGGAAAACGACGGTTCAATCGAGGATTGTTCATTATCGACGTCCGACACATGCCCGCCGGATGCGGTGTCTGGCCCGCCTTTTGGTTAACCGACGAAGCCAACTGGCCCGTCAATGGAGAAATTGATATCATTGAAGGCGTCAATTATCAATCGAACGCCAAGACGGCACTCCATTCCACCAAGGGATGTGTCATGGATGACATTCCTGCCGGGACCATGACGGGAGGATGGGATACCGCCGTGGGCATTCCCGATCGCAAAACGGGCATTCCCGACATGACCATGCGATATGCCCAAAATTGTTTTGTCTACGATCCCCATCAATGGCTCAATCAGGGATGTGTCGCGGTCGATGAACGCAATGGAACCATTGGTATTCCACTGAATCAAAAGGGTGGTGGAGTCTATGCCTTGGAATGGGATCCCATTTATCGGCATATGCGCACGTGGGTCTTTACACCTCACAAGTCGGTACCGGATAATTTGAGAGATGCCATTCGCACTGCCAATCTACCACCGGATCAACGCGTCTTGCCCGATCCCGATCTGTGGCCCATTCCCTATGGGTACTTTGCCATTGGTAAGCAACAAGAAAAACAGTGAACGCCAAGCTTCCAATGGATCGATCTTTCCTAACAGCTTTCTTTCTTTCACCATTATTTGTTGACACAGGCGAAGGAACCAACTGTGCCGCGAATCATTTCAAAAATATGCGTCTTGTGTTCAACCTGGCATTTTGTGGATCCGTCGCGGGAAATAGGTTTCAAATGGATTGCCCGGCGCAGGCGGCACAGTTTGCCACCTGCAATGAATACGTGGCCAGTCAGCCGGAAGAATTGAACGAAGCCTACTGGAAAATCAGAGGGGTCTATGTCTATGAACGATCGTGGGAACGAGCCTGGATGAAGTAATTTAGACAAGAAACAAGGATGAATAAGAGGAAGACGTGCAGACGCAGCTCCAGTTATGGCTGGTGTGGGAGGTTCTTTTGCTGAGACAATCTTGTTTTACGGAATCTGTCGGATTGATCCATATTCAACCACTTGCTAGCGACGCTGTCACAAACCCTGATACATGCACTGGATGCATCCGACAATTCCCACTCTACCTGTTCGGCACTGCAGGAGAGGCTGATCCTGAAACTGCAAGAGGGGCGCACGGAGCGCTTGGCAACAAGAAAGAGATTTCGTGAAACTGATGCATCCAGTGGTATTCGAGGAATCTCCCTCGGCTACGAACGCCCCACATCGATGTAATGACGGGGCTAATTGCTCTACAACTTAATATGTACCAACCAGCCAACCCGTCTAAAATAGCAGAGAACTGCTTCCAACTTGTCCAAACGTCGTGTGACATTATTCCAACAAAATAATCGTTCCATCAATCGTTTGGGTTTGTCTCCTTGGATCCCGCTTGCTCGAGCAAAAACAGCATCGTGCGACACAACAGGAATTCAACCACCAGTTTTTTCTGATTCGTACAACCGACACAGTACAAGCAACGGCACTGTCGCTACTTCTCGACCTCGAACGCATAAACGTGCTTCAGCACCGACCTGACTACCATGGCGACAGCAGTGGCCATTTCGACCGGGACAGAGTTTCCAATCTGGCGGCGTTGGTCCGTTTGCTTTCCTTTGAACTTGTATCCAGCAGGGTACGAGAAAAGGGCTGCTGCCTCTGCAATGGTAATCCTCCGATTCAATCTGTAATGGAAAGGAAGGGGTTTGCTGGCCCGGATGGTGCATGCGGTTGCGTTGGGATCCAATTTAATGTCATGCTCAGTCGGTCCGGGACCATGCTCCCCCGTTGCGACGTCCTCCTCACCAGAAAAGCATTCAAGGGCGTCTCGAACCGTAACCTGAGAAGTTGAAAACGTGCCCAGACTGTGTGTCTTCTCCGGAATCAAGGGCAGGTAGGCCTCTCTGCGAGCTGCAAAGATGAAGATCCTTGGTCTCTTCTGCGGGTCCCCAAAGTCACATGCTTCGAGTTTGCAGCAACGCACTTGATATCCAATACGCAAAAGCTTGATGAGAATGTTTTTTAGATAGTGGATATTCTTGCTTCGCCAGATCCCAGTGACGTTCTCGAATGTGGCAGTGACAGGGCGAAATATCTCAATGGCATCCACAAAGGTGTACGAGAGGTCGTTGTTGGCCTTGTCATTCTTACCACCAAAAACATTGGCGCCAGAAAAGCCTTGGCACGGTGGTGATGCATGAATGTGGTGTACTGACCCAATCTGCTCTCTGAGCCGTTGGCTTCGCTTGCACTCTGCCAACACTTCCTTCACATCACGGCAAGCAACGCGAGACGAGTGGTTTGCCTCATACGAATCAGCTGCAAGCTCATCTTTCTCTACAACCAAACCTGACGTGAAGTTGCAAACCTTGAATCCTTGTGCCATTCCACCGCATCCAGCAAACAACTCGAGCAAACGCGTTTCAGATCGAAGACCGCGGCGTTCACGCTTGCCAGGGTAGAAATAAGAGAAGTTGTAAATGGAAGCTCCCACGACCCCTTGAGGTTCGTGAGCGAGCTCGGGGATGCTTTTAATGCTGGGATGCTCACAGCCCAAGTCTGACAACATTAGAGGATCAATTTCCACCTGGACATGCGCACATGGCTCCCAGTCTCCCTTGAAGTTCTCGCCTTCTGCCCTTCCAAGAAATGTGTCGGAAAATGGAACGATCAAAGCAAACTCAGCTTCCCGTTCGGAGAGGAACTTCAAGAGCCCAACCACGTGCTGACTGCGTCCATATTGGTAGAAGTAGCATCTCCCCTTGAAGAAACGTTTGCCATCGCAGTCCATTGACTCTTTGCTCCCAAACTCTAATTGCTGTTCGGTCTTGCTACTGTCAGAGTCGTTTCTTCCACGGTGGAGGGAGCCGGAACGGAGACCTTCAAGAGCAAGCTGGAGTCTGCTTTTTTGCACCTTCTCAGCATGGGCCATCGCTTCTGCATTACTCAGTTCCTCGAGAAAAGAGTTGTCGTCCGCGTCGTCCTCGTTTTCACCGGCCTCATCGTCCGATGCGTCGAGAATAACCACTTCCTTGTGACTTCGACTCAGTAACTTGCCCAGTGGGCCATCCGTATTTGAACCCCATCTTGATGAACCGTCACTCCTGTCTGAATCAGCTGGTAGGTAATTTGATGGTTTTGCCGTTGCCTCATTGGTATCATGTTCTGTTGGACCTCTGATTGTTTGATCAAGCTTGGCTTGCAACTCACGAAGTTCTTTCCGGTATCTCTTGTCCACGTCCTGAAGGGCATCTGACTTCTTGATTTCCTCTTCCGTTGCGTCTTTCACTATCGTGAGGAAGAACTTACGACTTGTTGCGAGCGCCGTCTCCCTTTCCTCCGTTTTTGACTCTATCTCTTTCATGATGCTGTCAACTTCCGCATCCTGCTTGCGACGTTTCCTCGACGATAGACTTGTCATGGTGTTCTTTCGGAGATCCTTGTCTACTAGCCTTTTCTGAAGTTTTTGGATTCGATGTGCTTCTCGATGCATTTTTATGACGGCTTTGAAATTTCCATTGTTGACCCACACAAAGAGGCCAAGGGCAGGCAGGGAAACGTTCCGGTCTATCGGGACTCCACCGTTTACGGTATCAACTTGCGCAGCAAGTCAGCCGCCACTTCAAAGAAAGGTCTGACGGTTGCAGGCCTCAATGAAGGAGACATCCAACGCATCAGAATCCGGGATCAGATCTGAAAAGGAATGGGTAACAGGAGCGGTCTCATCACAAACTCGCAATCAACTTACTAAGCAAGGTGTATCTATCCAAACGAAGCACTTGTGGCACGCATCCAACGCGATGTCCGATTTAAACGATGGAAACGCCGCCCTCAAGGATCTTTTGGACCAAGTATTGAAGCGGAGGGATATCAGGCTGTGTCGCCACCCTTACGTCGACGCAGACAGCAACGTTATCATGGAGGGCGCATTCGAACGCCTGGTCGATGAACAGAACCTACATGGCCTTTCCAACACCAGCAAAACAGAAGTCTTGCAAGCACTTCTAGAACTGCAGATAAGTGAACTGTGTGGAGGTTTTGAAATACAAAGCCGCGACAACCGCACATCGTTTGCCGGACATTCGTCTCCTTCGGGGTCCACTTCCGGAAATGCGAGCAACGAGGTTCAAGTGCTCGATGAACAGTTCTCAAGCGTCCATTCGTCTGCCAACCAAAAGAAGCGAGCGCCAGTTGTAGTTCCAGATGAACAAGTCTCGATTGGGCAGGTGGGTCGCCCCTTGAATGCGTCACTCAAGTCCTCGTTGGACAACCCTATCTTCATCGAGACAACCGCAACCGGCCAAGACGTCTTCGTGCTCGATCATGATGAAAACGAAGCAGCAACGGCGTGCAAGTCTTCCGAGAGCAATTTAAAACGTCTGCAGCAGAAGGACCAAGCCCTCGAAAATGCTGTGTCCAACGACGACCTCGATTACGTCTTCGACGCACTGAAAATCAAGGACAGCCTCCGAACGAAACTCCGGCAGGATTGCGGCATCACGACCATGGCAGCTCTTCTTGTCTACCAGAATCATTTGGAGGTGGCGCAACTTCAACGTGGGGATTCTGACATTCAAAAACGACTTGCAAGGGTTTGCACCTTCTACAAAGACTACCGTTGTGAAGTGCAAAACGATAAGACAATATCTTGGCGCCAGTTTTACGAAGAAAGACAAAAGTTACACACCTGGTATGATCATGCAAAACAAGTCGTCAGCACCGAAGGCACGGGGGGCTTTAATATGCTATCAGATGCACAGCATCAACAGCTGTACGAGTACACTGCAAAGCTTGTTGTTGACGGTTTGAGCAATGAACTAAGAGACCAGTGCAATTTCCCGCTCGAAAATTATACCTCAAGGTTTGCCAAGGCAATCATGAACCTCTCAAGTGGCTTGCCCTACCCTCGTCCGATCCTGGCTCACGGACCCACGCAAGGAGGAAAATCCCCACTGACTGCGGTAGCCGCGATCCTTTGTGTGCATCTGAACGTACATTGTATCATCGTGACCAAAGGAAAGTCTGAGAGCAAGGACCTTGAGCTTTTAAGCTCAATAATCTGGTGGGCGAGTCCAAAGACCAGTTTGATGTCATCTTTGACACAGGTCCGCAACTCAGAAAGGCAATCAAGAAGCTCAAGGATTTGCGAGTTGCCAGAACGCATATGCGATTCGTGGTGATCGTCGATGAATGCGATGCCTTAATTCGTACGAAGGAGCGAAAGCAAAAAGTTGAACAAGCCTTTGATGACCTTTTGAAGCACATGCCAGCATTGAAGCTGTTTGTATCAGCTACCATTGTCCCCTCTATGGTTGACAGTCAAGATTTTGAGTTGATGACGATATCTCCGGGCGAGAACTATTCTGGAATCGAGAATATGCGACCCTTGCAGCGTGAAGGAAAAGACCTGTGCCTGAAGACGAAGAGTCTCTCCCACAAAACTGGGGTGCCATTTCACTGTCGGCCGTCCAATCTCTCTGAGCAAGATACTACGAAACTTTTTTCCGAATCATATCTGAAATTCCCTGACTGCAAGCAATGCCGAAAAGTTCGACTAGAGATGAAGTCGCAGTGCACCAAACATGATGACTTCATCAATCCCAACAGGCGATGGCCATTTTCCAGGTGCCTCAATTACATACCCTATACGTGCGCAAAGACGATGCTCTTGTATCGGGACGCATTGTCAGACCCAGACAAGAAGAAAGGTGTTCTGGTGTTGGATGCTACAGGACCTCGAGCATGGGTTCCAGGCAACATCTTTGAGAAAGCTGTTTGCATCCAGGATACCTTCCGTCAGGAGAAGAGAGACATTGCCATTGTCATCTTTGTTGGCGACGGAATCTACTACCGGCGTCCAGGCTTCGAACAAGGCCGTTGCGTGAAGGGTCGGACAATTGGCACTGTCATCGAACAGCTGGACCGCGAGTTGGGGCTCGAAGTGCCGATTTTTGTTTTTGGATGGTTGAAGATGCAACGTTGTATTTCGTTTCGATCAAACCAGCGCGTTCCTACTCATTTTGTGTTGCACTTGGGCGCTAGATTCAGCATCGAGAGTGTCATTCAAGCTCGTGGGCGTGGAACAGGCAATTTCAAGGACGTCCTTGAGGCGAACGGACACGACTGCGTGACTATCCTGGAACCAAAAGAGCACCGACAAGCTTGCAGAAAGTATTACGGTTATCAGGGTGAAGTCCATGACAAGATGGAATCAGGTGAAAACTCTCAGGATGCCATTGTGGGAAAGGGAAGCGAGTTTTCTGACGAAGCCAACTTTTTTCGCCATACAAACCGCAGAGTGGGCCAGAGGAAGGATCTCAGGATGCTTTTGCCTGATCAAGACAGGTTTGGAGCTCCGACGAACTTTGAGGACGAGCTGGAGTTGAAGGATAAGTACTGTGATCATACCTTGGCTCAAAGGGTTTTCCAGTCATTCTCTTATTTGGCTACTGAAGACGGAAAAGCAGAATGCACGGAGGATGACATCATTGAGAAATTTGAGGATACGTATCAAGACAATGACCCTGACCATGAATTCAAGCTCACAAAAAAGAATCTGCGGGAGTGCTTGAAGCAGCTGATGGAGGATGGCATTATCGAGAAAGTGGAAGGGGCCCCAAAAACCTGGAAGGCCAAATCCTTGGCAACCCTTGAATTCTTGACCAACGAAGATTGATCCCTTGATAGTTTCAACAGTCTGTTCCACCTTGCTTCTGCCGTGAACACATCGAAAATGCCGAAACAAACTTATCCGCCTATTATCTGAAGTGAGGAAATGCGCCGCTGTCTTGTGTTGCGCACTGAGATTCGTTGCTGTGACTTAGACCGTCTGTCTTGGATCTGCACTCCTACTTTACCTTTCCAGTTGTATTGGCGCTAGCTCACCAGCTCTATGTGCCCCCCCCCCCCTTCAATACAGTAGCTTTTCCAGTTGCATTGCGCATTGCGCTATTAATATTATCTTATCAGCGTTGCATGGAAGTTCATAGGATACTATTAGGATGCTTTATCTTGACAACTGAGCTGAGCTGCAAACTAGCTGCAACTGTAGTTACAACGGAGAGCGGTGCCCTTACATCCGTAACACTGGGAACACGGTTGTTTCTCGGCCTACTAGTACAGTTGTAGCGGGCATGCATACATGTATGTCATAGCCGCAAGGGTTTAATTAAAAAGGAAATGAGAGAGGAAAATTACGGAAGCACCACGGTTGATTGAAGCTCTGCTGGCTTCGAAAGGGAAACTTGGCCGGCAATGCTCAACTCAGCAAGGACTTCCGCTTTCCGCTTTGTTGCCACCGTTGCCATCAAACACTTTCGAGCATCGATTGGGCGCCCTTGTACAGGAATGCAATGGCTAAACTTGGTAATCTTGATAATGATGGCAGCTTTGTACAGGTAGAGGATGAAGCTGAGGGGGATTCTGAAGGAGAAGCTGAGATCGAGAATGAGCAATCCGGCACCTCGCCAGGTAATGGACCCCAGTTGAATTCTACGTCGGTTAAGACAGATCTTGTTAACGATGATTTCGACAGCAAGATACAGCAGAATCTTTTGTTGAATAGAATCAATGCAGAGACCAGCAAGACGTCTTCCGGGCGCAGACGGACGAGTTGTAGTACCACTGCCACCAGCCTGACTACTAGCACTCAAGATACCCACAGAAGCTCCCACAGAAGTCAATCAGCTGAACCGAATGCACTGGCCTTGGGGGGACAGAGTGTCCGAGAAGTTGAGAGGTCATCTGATGTTGGTCCTGTGGCTTCATTTTCTGTTGGAAAAGTCGACATGAAAATTCCAGCCAGCCGACAATCTGCCAAAGGGCGCAACATCCGAGCATCATCAAACAGTGGCGTCTCTGGCAATGATGCTGAGGATGAATCTAACCGATCGTCAGAACCACAATCAATGGCCCTCACGTCCAGTCGAAGCATGGCAGATCAATCGATGAAGAAGAATGGTACTCAATCCGATATGGCGGCCTTTCGTCGCTCCTCCAGAAAAGATGCCAAAGAAGACCCTATTGGCGGTAGGGTGACTGCACTCTCTTCTTCTCTTAGTTCGACGTCCACTCTCACTGTGAGCACTTTGACCACCAGCACCTCTGCTGGGTCAAAGGCAGGGCTAAATCATGTCAATCGACAAGAATGGGAAGTCAAACGGAACTCATTGAGGCCTAACACTGACGCAGTTACAAGTACTGCCCCACCTGACAAAGTTCACCGCCGACCACTGACAAATCCCATTGCTATCCCCACACATCCACCACCGGCGGAACCAGAACTAGTCGTTGCAACACTCGTCTCTGATGATAATATGGACTCGTCATCATCTGCTGACACGTCCGAGAGAAATCGAGACTCCATCGAACCAATGCCTCCACTCCCCGAGGAGGACCCCAACCTGGTCACGGTGCATGCTACACCTGAAAATTTGGAGGATTCGGTGATGGATATTCTGAAAAGCCACAAAGGGCGGTGTTTCATCCTGGTCCTTGTTGTTTTCGTGGCAGTTGTGACCGGTGGACTTGTCATTGGGATATCGGCAGGCAGATCAAAACCACACAACATTCATTTCAATGATACGACAGCAAACACCAACGATCCTTCCGCCAGTCCTTCCCACACGACAATGACTCCTATGAGGATGCCTTCCATGCCACCCACCATGATGCCGTCGAGTGCTCCTTCTTTGTCGATGCCCCCTTCGACCGAATTTGTTGGTTACGCCGTCGACAACTTGCTTCCCAACTATACACTGAGTGCTCTTCAGAACTCGTCCTCACCTCAATTCCACGCACTACAGTGGCTTCAGAACGAGCATTCTCCAGAATTACTTGCTAATCTTACTGATGAAAGATTGATTCAGCGTTTTTCTCTCGCAACCCTCTTTTATGCAACAAACGGAGATCTCTGGATGATTAGATCACGATGGATGTCTCCCACAGTTCATGAGTGTGATTGGTGGTCCCATGCGGAGGTTCTCGGGGCCACGCCTCAACCAATTTGCAATAAAAATGAAGCCTACATTGCACTCTTGCTGAGCAAAAATCTCCTCAAGGGCACTTTACCTCCAGAGATTGCACTTTTGAGTTCCCTCGAAGAGATCCGATTCGAATCCGACGCATTCAGGCCCAATGAAGACAAAAGAAATCTTTATTTGTCAGGGCCCCTTCCATCAGAGCTAGGGCTGCTGTCCAATCTACGGATCCTGGATGTCAGCAAGAATGCTCTCTCCTCGACAATACCAAGTGAGCTATTCGACAAGGCCAACTCTCTTGTTTCCATCCACCTTCTGGAGAATTACCTTACAGGTTCGATACCCTCGGAACTAGCTCTCTCGACAGGACTAGAGCGGCTATTTTTGTACGACAATGCTCTGACATCGTCTATACCGTCGGAGCTGGGATTATTGTCAGCCTCTTTGCTTCTGTTCAAGGCCTACAAAAATGGACTCTCTGGATCTCTCTCTACCGAGCTTGGGTTGCTGACGAAGCTAACAAGTTTGGAGATAGGGGAGAACCGCTTGACGTCAAGCATTCCGAAGGAAGTGGGTTTTCTCAGTTCTCTCAGATGGTTTGGGCTGAAGCAGAACAAGTTGACGGGAGAGTTGCCCCCGTTTGCAAATCTTCGCGAGGTGCAGCAGCTTCATTGGGAAAGCAACGTAAGTGTCTGGCTGGTTCGCTCCATGGTTGCACGAGGATATTCTGCTTACTCAGCTTCTACAATGCGATAGCAACTGTCAGGGTCCATCCCAACTTCCATTGGAAACATGACCAACTTGAAGAAGCTGTTCTTGAACGACAACAAACTCTCCGGTTCCATCCCTTCGGTATGGTTTAATGTGGTCTTTCATGATGCCTTGCTGTAGCCTTGCTCTCTTTTGTCACCTAAATGTTACGTGCGTGCTTTCTTGCAGGAAGTAGGCAAGCTCGCTAGAAACGAGGGAATTCGCTTGGACGACAATGACATGATTGGGGAAGTTCCCAGTGAAGTTTGCGTGAGTCTATCTGTTGCCTCCTTGGACACAATGGGCGTACAGGTGCTAACTTTTCTTGTTTCTTCTTGCTTCTGTGTGTCCTTCTAATCTGTAGGCACTCCATGAGACTGGTAGTCTGAAGTTTAGCATCTGGGTTGACTGTGAACAAGTGCTTTGTGAGTGTGGATGTTGCCATGGCTGTCGATGCGAAGATCGAAACATCACGTCGATATTCGGCGGTGGTCCTTCGTCACTATCCAACGGTCCCTGAACTCGGGCAGACCGTGACTAAGACCGCCAGATGTCGCCACACCTAGACCAGCGAGGGCCATCAGGATAGCTACTGCGATAGCTATTAGCAGTTACGACGTACTAAGAGAACTGTCTTGATGATTGATCTACATTACTTCTTCCTATTGTTATGTATCACGAGGCGTAGCAGCAGCAGGGGTGTTCTATCCATTAGAACACGCCATGCAAAGCTACCCCGCCAGTGCTTCCACTAGTACACAACCATGCTTACCGGTACACCTTTTTGCTTCCCTTGCCGGTATTATGAATCGGATCCACGTACACGTAAAAGCTTCTGGTTTTGCATCAATTCGGCACTATCGTCAAGCCCACCTTCATGACAATCTCGCGGTCTCTACTGGCTACTGGCGAATGAGTTTAATTGACGTGATCACTCGCAGAGCACAGTTGGTCATGCGTGGCCTTGGAACGTCTTCGTCGAAGCTTACCGGTGCTCTTGCGCTTCCAGGAAGCCACAAACCGAGCGCAAGAACTTATTGAACTATTCGCTGCCATCAACTTCATTGACGCTACATTGGTATTCTCGCTGTTGAGGACAATGGGCTTGCCTCCGTTGCTCCCACTGGTAGAAGATGACTTCTTCTTCAACAAGGAACGACGACCACCTCGTGTACTTCGAAGACGCTTATCCGATGATCGATCAAAGTGCTCAATAAGCTCGTACAATCCCATCGTCAAAGCCATGGGCTCAAACTCCTCGTATTCCTTTTTACTCAATGTGTCGTAAGCGGGAAGTGAATCAAAGACAAGGTGACCCAAGAGGACTTCGAAGATGGCTGGCGATGTCTCCAAATGAGCCACTCCACTTTCATCTCGCGTCCAATTCAATTTCTCCATCTTTGCAAAGGCTTCTCGAGGTACGGAAAAGCTAGTACCTGAGACCATCACGTAGACGCTCTTGTTAAAACGTTTACTGTTCTCCTCCGAGAGTCCGCGAAATGGCAGTCCAGGCTTGTGATGATTCTTCTTGGATTCTTGCTTATCTTTCTCCTCGTCCAAAAGAAACGAAGTGGCAGAAGGAGGCCTTGAAGATAGCTCGGTAACACAAGTACCATCTTCCTTGAACGAGATAAGATCTGCTCCGTCAGAGCTAAGAGAGCTCAGTGTTTCAAGTGTAGTCTTATGAATCTGTACGAGCTCAGGGTGATACTCATCGTTGTTGTTGTTTGTGCTGGTGGATTGCTGTCCCTTTCTCATTGTCTCGAATTGAATACAGTGTAGAAGAGAGGTGTGCACTTTCTGGTAGTCGGAGCTTGTGGCTTTTGGTGCAGATTGAGAAACCAATGCTTAATGCTGCTAAAATTTCTGAGTGCGCGAAACAAAACAGTAGGTGCCGTCGTTATACACATGAATGATCCACCATTGTCAGGTTTTGAAGTGATCTTGTGCGCGATGGATGAAGGTGTTCTATCGCAAAAAATGATCTGGAATCCAAATTGGCAGTTTGTTTACGGTACTTAGGCGTGAGTTGTGAGGTTCATTCATGCGAAACATTAGTTAATGCTTTGGTCCCAGCAAGGATGGGGAGCTTCTACTCGGACGCAACCTTCCACAATTCTTGATGTGCTGGCGTGGTGCCGGCAACCGGTACCGTAGTGCTGGCCTTGTCCCCGGTTTTTCGATAGCACACCTTTACCAGTTCTAGCTAGAAGAGGTAGACTACTTAGTCTTGTACCGAGAGCTGTAGCAAGCAGTTGGGATGAACATACAGGTACAGTACAAGTTCCGCAGACTAAATGCAAGAGTGCATCTATCATTGCAAAGTAGCTGCAACCAGACTCGACTCCCCCATCACATCACATCTCATCACATCACATCACATCACATCACATCACATCACATCACATCACATCACATCACATCACATCACATGTCATCTTGACGAACTTCGCTCGGTACGTCATTGTGTATGTTGCATGTCTCCATTCGGGTTTGATCAATCGAGAAGAATGGACTCAGAAACCCGAAGCATCAAACCAATCAGGACGAATTGCCAACGCACGGCAGGGATGAGTTGGCGGTTTGCTTGAAGCCCCTGCGCCTCTGCCAAGAGTGGGATCGGGGTTGTCATCAGTTAGCTAGCTAGCTAGAGTCGCACTCCAACCGGTAGTATGCCATACATTAGTACAGCAAACCATGCATGTTACCAAGCGACAAGCCACCCACTCGCAGTAATTTTTTCACACGTGGACTCTCATCATGGCTCCCAATTAAATTTGGCATCTGAATACTGACCCAACTGGGACTGTTATCACATTTAATTTTATTGATCCCCCCCCCCCCAAGCACACACCTACGGTACACTCCCACCCACACCAGCAGCTCGTCAGCCAATGGCGAGGAGCGGGGTGCGTCGGTACAGGATGTCCTCAGCCAACGTTGCTCGTGCCAAGGCCCTAAAATAGACTTGTAGTCGGAACGAGAAAGAAGTGCCAATCCGCCTTTCCTGCTCAAGCAAGTTGATGAAGGCTCTTTGGAATGTGTACTGTCGTTTTTATTTTTAAGGCTACGAGCCCTGGATCGCTTGCAGTGGCATTCGATGCCGTTCCAAGGTTCCAAGCAATTGATCTAGTACGAGGGCTAGCTACTAGAGGCTCTATTAGTAGAGGCAACAATGAACAGAGGGGTGGCAGCTTGTGCTTTGTGTCATACGGTACCTGGTACAAGGCCGAAGGTATGGTTAATCATTGGTCCCACTTTTAAAGACAGCATCATCCGGTGAACCCACCAGAGTTGACCACCCATCAAGCGGTTCTCGATCCAACGTCGATTGCCAAAGCGCGTCGATGCTGTTCCAGGGACACGCAGCTCGTTGAAATTGGAGACAAAAGCCACCACGTCCCTCTCTTTGCCTTCTGTTGCTCTTCTGTTGGCTTCGAAGCTTCGAAGAGCCTTGGCGTGGAGCAGGATTGCCTACTTCCATGCTTCCAGGTGCTACTCCTACGCTGTATAGTATTTGGCTGGCTAAAGTACCCGTAGCGCAGTCGTTTGGTGAATTTTTAACAGGCCTATGCATAACTTTCACAAAAAAAAATGTCGAACTGGGACTCCACGCACAACTACACCAACACAACCAGCCACAACTCTTCTTTAACTCGTTTTCTTTTCACCTCAAGAAGCTCCTAAAGCATTATTACACCTCAATTGTCGACAAGAGAATTACAGGAGCTTCAATAGGTCGGCAACTAACAATTCGGAAATCAAAACTGATTCGCAATGATCCAGTTAAAGTTACAATGGAGAGCTTCACGTGGCTGTTCTCTGAGGATTTACAATGTCGGCATGTCGGACGTAAAGCTGGGACTAGCCCCCCCGCTAGCTCTGGCTCCAGTTGCAACGACAGCTACCGCTTTTGTTCTTTTAGTAGGATACTCGAGTAGCTACTGTACCAGGAAACCTACGGCACTGTTCATCATGGTAATGAAGCAGGAACAATCTTGCCAACGCAACGCGCGATGATGAAAGAATGTGGTTTCGCTGGTATCCGGGGACTGGGTCCAGCTCGCTGGGAAGATGGATTTGTTACTCCAGGAATATAAGTACATGTACATGTAGAGCGAATGTAGATTTCACAAAAGAGTCTTTTAACGTACCAGGCCTCAGCCCCTACTACTAATAGATATCAAGTCCAAACTTCACCTCTTCGCCCGTGGTGAAAGCAGTGCTGTTAAGAGCTACAGGTAATAGATAGTGCCACACCTAGTCTGCACAACATGGAGGCATGGAGGTGCGAGCTGAGGTGCATCCCAAACTAGTGCATGAGAGGGGCAACAAAAAAGTCCTAGGGCACTGACCTATTGTACCAGACGTTGGGACCCGGACCGCCAAGCGCCAAGATAGATGATGATGAATTCCACAGAACAAACAAGAGACTGATGTGCTTACAAGAGTTGGCTGAAATAGCAACTGAAGATGGTGGAATAGCAACCACTGAGTAGAAAGCTGGGGCCAGCTCTATCTAGCTACAGTAGTAGAACTCTAGAGCTAGACTCAAGCTACTAGCTAGTAGGCTTCATTGAGTAGCAAAGCCTATTGAGCGGGTGCTTGGGTGCTCTCCAATGAGATATGAGATGGCCAAGAGAGCTCCAAGAGCCACTCGCAAGATCTGAGGGAGAACGTGCCCAAGACTGCACCAACACTTTCAGAAGCTCGTAGAACCCGTTTGAGTCTGTGAACCCAGAGTGTAAAGAAATTGTACAAATTCACAGTTGAGGTTCGGATTAGGGGCAGCAACATGTGGCATAAGCAGCACTTTGAATAGCCGTACGGCAGACATTAGCGTTCGGAAAGTGGATGAGAAGAGAGTGCATGCTACATGCTACTCTTGCTGTGTGTACGAGATGGGCTGGGTTACATTGGCCTAGGCCTTTCGATGTCGAATGATACAGCTGAAACTCAGCTCTAAGTGCGTCGTCAAGGCCTTTTAATGAATGATAGTGGACACGTTGAAGAATTTTTGAGTCACACTCCTCGAGGAAGACTTGAGGCCTTGCGGAACAAGTTTCGGTAACTGTCCTTAGAGGACAGCTACAACGTAAAGCCTATTATGGCTTTGAGACTTTGTAGGCTTAAGGAAGTTGAAGGGCTAAATACTCCTCAACCAAATGACATAGGACGATTAGACAAGATTAAAGCCCAGGTGCATTTTCGTTTTCCAAGAGTGCATCTGACAATTAAGCTGGGAAGGTCAAGACATTGAGGCTAAAATGTCTTTCTGTTAGAAGCTGGAAGAGTGCGAAGTGCCACCCCCCTCGCCTTTGCAAAAGGCCTTCTTGAGGCACCTGAGTGGGAAAGACTCTCCTGGACCTTTGTTTTCTCTCACAAAATCAAAAGAAGGGCACGGCACGAGCACAATCTTCAAAGGTCGCAGTCTCCAGCAGAAGTTAGGATAGAAGTACCAGTATGACAATGGAAAAAATCACCACACCTGAGGGCCAAGGAGCTGTAATGCCCACAACTCAGGCAACAGCAACCATGGGAGCCCCACCAGCCGACGATGTGGATCGAAACCACTTCCCAACCAGGCTTCATATCATGATTTCCACGTTGGAGAGTGACAATGCCGGATTGTCCAATGTCGTGACATGGCAACCTCATGGGCATGTTTTTATGATCCGCGACACTGAACTGTTCGTCCAGCAGGTCCTCCCAAAGTAAGTGGGGCAAGATGTAGTCAAGAGTGGTATCACTTGCTGGCTACTTGATGGCGCCGATGCGTGAATGCATGAGAGTAGTCTAACGTTCTTTGGGTTTTCTTCTTTCTTTTGACCATCAGGTGGTTCTGCAGACTCAAGTATACATCCTTTCAGAGACAACTCTGCTTGTACGGGTTCCGAAAGCTGAGCAAGAAAGGTATGTGGCTTTCATCCGTTGCCTGTGTTGCCTTATTGCTTGCTGCGGCTCACCATTCCACCTCTGTTCCTGATTGTTCCCGTTCCTTCGCGAATCCGCAGGACCTGATCAAGGAGGTGAGTTGATGATAACCGATGTTGTTGCTTCTGAGACTTTCTATGATAATATTGCCCTATCTCACACCACTACTTGTCATGACTACTACCCTTCAGGTTACTACCACCTTAGCTTTATCCGCGACAGGGTGGACCTGGCCGCAACTATTCAGCCGGGGAAGATCAAGGGGAAGAGGGGCCGAAGACCCAAGAGTGACGAGAGCGAACCTGACTTTTACAAGATGGACAGTCTCACGGAGACCGGACAGCCTCTTGAGGAGGCAAAGCTTGCCTCGCCTTCTAGGTCTTCTACACGTCCTGGGACTGCTTCAGCAAGCACTATGGCTATCAGGAGCGTGGAAGAATCCAAGGCTGACAGAGAGAGACTGGAACGGGCAGGTCTGGACTACATCTTTGCCACTGCAGGAGCCAAGGAAGACTCCCCCGAACAGATGACGCTGGAAACCCTCCTCCAGCAACCTTCCTACCAGGATGAGCTCTATGCAGAAAGCAGACAACCGCAGCTGCGGCAGTCTGGGCTTCTCATTTCTGCCCCTCAAGACGCGACGCAATGGCCTTCCGTGCCTACAGGCCTGCAGCAAACACTGGCGGAAGAGTCTCACCCCATCTCGTACGCCCAGACCCCAGCCCCTAGCGTGGATGCAGTGGGTATCCAGCAAGACTTGTACGCCTTGCCGCAAAGCATGACCAATACGGCTCCTGCCTCTTTGAGTACCCATGCCGCTTTGGGGCGAGTCAGTGCTTCTCCAGCCCCGGGGCCGTCCGCAGCTGCTGCTAGACGAATGAGCGACTTTTCGGTTTCCGAGGGTGCCCCTACGTGGGGATGGGATTCCTTCTCTGCAGCTGCAGAGGAAACCACTGCCACCGGGGCTGCGGTTGCTTCGATCCTCGAACAAGCTCAAGCGCAAGCACCGCCAAGTATTACCGGCTTTGGCGGGGGGCTAATGGCGGGCAGCGGGTATGCTCAATCTCTGGAAATTCAAGCCCAAACAGAGCAGCAACTTCAGCGCATCCTCGAGGAGCAACGTCTGAAGGACCTGATGGATCTGAACCAAAAGCAACAGAGCAATCTCAGGATCCAGCAAGAGCAGCTGGAACAGCAGCGATTGGAGTTGCAAATGAGAGATCAGGAACAGCTGGAACACCTCCGCATGGAACTTCGAGCTCGAGAAGAACAGCAGAGACGTGAGATGCTCCTGCAACACCAACACCAGCAGCAACAACAACAGCGACAACAACAGCAGCAGCGACAACAGCAACAAGGCGCCCGATTACTCGTGGAACCCCTTCCCCGACCTCCTCCTCTCTTCAAGCCTCAAAACCAGTCACAGCGTGTTGCAGGACGCTCCTCGAGTCTCGGTCAGATTCGCATGCCACCGCTAACAGGGCTGCAACAGCAATCTCAATCCTTGCCCTCCTCAACCACTGGATCTCCACAACATACAACGCGACGGGCGCCGCAGAGTCCAAGCAGTAAGGGACCATACTAACATCGCCAGAGCTTCTGAGTACTGAATCTCCCGTGTTGCTTGGAAAGGAAAATGGAAGTTTGAAGTGTAAATATATGAGAATACCCGCGTCCGAGCTTCTTGCTGAGTCATTCCATTGGGTGCTTACATTTGGATAGAGAACAGATATGCCTTTGCGGTGGGCGGGGCCAAACAAATTATGAGTGCATAAACTAAAAGATGCATATGTTTACCCTGGTGTGTTATAGTGAAAGTGAAACATCTCTGCGTACCTCCAAAGGTACGCACCTGCCAGATCCACTTCTCCCTGCTGTGTGGACCAGAGGATGACTTCGTTGGAACGAAGGGAACATTTTTGGCATATTCTATTGAGAGAATTACCGAAACTCCCTGCGAACCAATCAAGGTTTCACCAGCAGCGAAGCTGTGTCCGTGCATCGATCTCTTGTCTGGGCTTGGACAGGAGGCGACCAATCCCAAGGGAAAGTCGGAGTACATTCCTAAAAGAAGCTTAAAAACCATTCGATCGCAGCCAACCAGCCGAATGAATCGAATCGAATCACCCTGCCGGTATCAAAGTTATCTCGGAGGACAAGGCGAGATGATGAACGAGGCTTCTCGCTACCAGCGAAAGAAAATGTCATATCGACGACGTCTAGAAGAGTGTTTTATTAATGAAGTATGCAACCCAGATACTGTTGCACATTGCTTTCTGGTACATGTAAGTTTACCAAAACAAATCTCTCGAACTTTCTGTTTACTTCTTTTGTTGCTTCATGGCAGCCCCCGCACGAAGGGCTTTGCGCTGTTCGTAGCGCTGCTTCCCTTCAATGAAGATTTTCTTCTCCGCGTCTGTTTGGGGCGCCAAAGGACGCATGGGCAAGGTCCTTCCTGTCGGGCCAAGGCTCACAAAGGTAAAGTACGCTTGTTTGGTGGACACGGTTTCTCGTCTTTCTAACTTGCCCTCGGGTGTCATACAGAACCGTTCTGCCGTCACTGAGACTTGGATTTCGATAGACTTGGCCGAAGTAAAGATTGGAACGGCATGGATCTTTAATACATCGCCCAGCATGACAGGTTTGACAAGATCCACCGCATCCACCGAGACTGTGACAATGTTGGTACCACAGTGGCGGACTGCTGCCACTCCTGACGCATTGTCCATCAATTTCATGACAACTCCACCACGAACCAGGCCGGCCCCGGTTACACAGTCTGCTGGTAGCATGCATTGCGCAAGAGTGACCTCACTTTGGTCGGGAGAAAAGGCATCATCCTCTTCGCTGTTAGACTGGGCTGGGTTGGTGTTTTCATCAACATCAGAATCAGGGAGTGAAGCCGGATCGGATTCTTGACGAGCCTTGCGTTTTTCATACGCCATCTTGGCCAACTTGTAGGCCATGAGTCCTTCTTTATCGGTGGGTGCCTCCAACTTTGGTGCCTTGGCCAAAGGCAGGTCCATCTTTCCCTTCCTCTGTACCGTGGCAATTCCATTATGATCCTTTGCCATGTCGGTGGAAGAAGATTCCTTGTGCACATGCCCCACAATCCATAACAAGGCTCGATTGCCAACAACGTCTTCTTTTGACGTCAAGCGCTCTGCCATGACCTTCACCGCCACTGCAACCGTGTGGTTGGAAGCGAAGACCACTTGAGCCTGAACCTTGGCCACATCCCCCACGTGCAGTGGTTTCTGGAATGTGATGCTCTCGACACGGGCAGTGACAACTTTGACAACCTCTTCGTCAGAGTAATGATTGTAGAAGCGACTCGCCGCAACACAAGCCGATTCCTCGATCATTTGCATGATGGTCCCACCGTGGACATTTCCTGCCACATTGGCATCGGCTGGAACCATTAACCGAGATAGCTCGGCCGTCTTGAAAAAGTTGGATTCGTCGGTAGATGTCATCGCGATGGGTTCCTTTATTGTGCTGTTGATTCGATTCAGGTATTCCTTGTTGATTTTATGAGGAGCAATGGAGCAATGATCTCTTCCTCGTTTATATACCGGGCAGACCCGGGTGATCTCTGACCCCGTTTATTACGTCTCAATGAGACGACGCACCTTTTGGTTACCCCCTCAGTTGCACTCTGAAATCGATTTGCCGGCGTTTACTGTGGAAAATAGAGTAGCCGCACTTCAGTTGCAGAATCAACGGTCATGTGCTTCGAAAGATTTAGATCGATTCGTGGATAAAAAGAACCGTTGAAGTTACTAAGGTTAAGGATAAACCGATCGAAGCGAAAGTCCATTATTGAAGGCACAGCACTGACTTCTCTCCCTCATTGATTCGTATGGTAAACAGGAGGTAAATCCAAGCTTGGCGACAACATGCATGGTGAGGGCTTTATCCAATCGGCCATCATCGAATCGATTCGAGGTAAGTTATTATCAAGATGTTACTTGAAGTCAGCGCTGACTTCTCTCCTCATTCAATTCCTATGGTAACAGGAGAGAATTCCGAGCTCGGCGTCAACAGGTGAGTTGTTTTTATTATTCGAATCGAATCGATCGTCGCACCTCTGTTTTCCAGGCCTCACTCAAGCCGGTCGTTCTCGGTGTAGATTGGAACCATCCCTCTTGAATCCTATGGACCATGGGATGGCAGTCAGTTTTCGGCCCATGACGGCCAAGTTGAAAAAAAGGGTAAGTCCCGGTTTTCTCAGTATCAGAAAGAAGAAAAACATATCTATTTCTTACTTTCTGTTCTCTTACTGGACGGCCGAGGAAACCATGTGACTTTTCGAACGACGAACGACGATGCTCCGATAACAAGAGGAGAGCTAGGAGAGACTGTTAGCTCAAGCCCTATCAGCAGCCTAACGTCGTCGAGTCATTGAAAGGCAACAGTTAACGGAGGAGGCGACACACACAGAGAATGAATCCTCCGATTGGATTCATCCTCTTGTTATTTCCTTATTTTTGTGGTGATTCTGTGTCGGTATCCATTTTCCTTATGCACAATCCTCCACCTCAACGAACGATCGATCGCTCTGGATACAGCAAGAGGAGAGGCTACCGCTAGGCTCTGTTACTCCTAAACGAATCATCATCGAGTCATTGAATGCAAATCGTCAACGAAGAGGCTACACAAAACACAAGCACGAGGAGAGTGGATCATCTACCGGATTCATCCCTCCTTGTTATTTCTAGTGTTTGTGGTGATTTCTGTGTGATATCCTTTTCCTGCAGGAACAGTGCTCAGGGCGCTGTCACCGATTGATGTAATCTACGGTAACTGGCTACAATGGCTGGATTGACAATTCGGTTGTGCATGTATTCGTAATAAGGCCGCTCTCTACCAAGCGACTAAAGTAGCGACTAGCCATATTTCGTAGTTTAGTCGATAGTTTAGTCTCTGGGGTGGTGTCTACCCAAGCGACTAAACGTCACGGACTAAAGGCTTTAGTCATTATGTTCGCTCACGACTAACCAGCCTCCCGTTAGTCGGTGAGCGAACATAATGACTAAAGCTTCTTTAAGAACTTTTATGAATCAATCTTCAATCAGCCTCATTGCACAGCCTCAACAGAGGCATCTACTTGCCCACAAGCCAAGCTGTAACTCAACCGTTTTAGTCACTGTCTTTATAGTCACTGTACCGGTAGCCTCTTTGCACCTCTTGGTGGGCACCTCTGTGGTAGTAGGCCGTTATTATTATGTCGCTCATCGGATTCCGACTCTTCCAGGGAGGCCTTGGACTCGTCATGGGAATGGCAGATACCGCTGTAATGTTGGCCACGGATGATTACGATGGCCACACAGCCATGGTTGACCACCGTCTTTTGCCAAGGAACCTCGAAGCAATACAACCATGCCAGAGCTTTCCGTGTATTCTAGACGACTATCTTGGACCGGTCCCTACATTTGATTTCAAGGAATTTGAGATATCTACCGCATCAGCCGTCCTCGTTACCAGAGATTGAGAGAAGATGTCATGAATTCGGTCATGAGTTCTACAGTGGGTCCACTGATGCTTTCGACCGGGAGGTATCATGTTTGGACGACGTCTATTGATGCCGTTTAAATGTTTGGCATACGGTTTTCCCGCTCAACCATTCCGTTACTATTTCCAAATGTCGCAGACCTTCGCAAGGGATTGCCGCAGTAACTTTGATGACATCCTGGCTCATTTGTATCAGACGAGTATCTTGGTTTGCGACTGCCACTGATTTACGAAATATTTCAATCTTCACTTGGCGGCCACGGTGTTCCTGGAATGTTGGAAGTCTTGACTGTATGCACAATCGATGGAAGCAGTGCCCAATCGAATGGCAAGGAGATTCCAAGGAGCAAAAAGGTCCCTACCCTGGTCTGGAGGCAATGTGCGATTACAATTTATTCTCTGGCATGCTTCGTTCGGCTATGCCGGAACACTATGACATAACATTTTCGACGTGTCGCCTCTGTGGAAAACATGTCAGGGAAGCTTACCGATCGACTATTGGTGGCGTCGTCCCTTTTGACATTGGCATGAAGAATTTCCACAGATGTTTATTTTGTTGACGGTATATACCCACAATACTCCGTTTTGTCAAGACTTTATCGAGCCAATTTTGGATTGGGAGAAACAATATTCGCTTGGCAGGAGGCGGCTAGGAAGGACATGACGGGCATACGTGTGATTCAGGCCAAATTCCAATTTATGGCTCGTCCATTCCTGGATTGGATTGCGCAAATCGGAAACCGTGTCAACACCTGCCTCATTCTCCATAACATGTGTGTTGTGGATCGGGTGATGGGAGATGTGAGGGCCAAGTACGATCCAAGTGTCACTACAGTTGATCGAGAAATTGTCATCGATGTGCCGGCTGACAGGCAAACCGTCCAAAAACTAGTAGAGGAGCCACCCGAATTGGTTGGAGGAACAACCAAGAGTGTTCGAGATACTATGGTTCGTAGGCAACAGTGGCATTCGCTGATGGATATCACAGAGCATGAGCGTCTACATGTGGCTCTAGTAGAATTTAAAACTGGACACAAACTATAGTAATTGAATTAAACCTCGGTATAGTTTTTTGGGTGGCTCAATGTTCCACTGTTGTCATCCTGTCGATATACGGTGTTGTCATCCTGTCGATATACGGTGGCGGCATTAGGACAAGTCGGAATTGTCATCGGCCACTCCTTTTCCACTTAATTGAATCCAGTACGGTGCTCGGCATGGGCCCGACGGTAACAAGCCATGAATTTCGGCAGCGTCCCGCAAGTAAATTCCAACGGCGACGGAGCTGGTCAGCGACTCGCGTTGTATAGATAGTGTCACCGTCTTCATCAGGTTGAGCCTCTTGGGAGAGCAGTTTGTTGTATTTTGGAGCAACTCGATTCTTCAGAAATCTCCTCTCTTCATACCGGTGCCCTTCATGCTCTGGGTGGCACTGATGAAGGCACGGCACAATAGTTGATCCTCAAAATCATCAAAATTCGTACCACGCTTGCGCTTGGACTTGCCGTCGTCATCAGCGACAGCGGTGGTCTTCTTGACTTTCTTAGTATTGTGTTGCCGGCTTTGCCGCCTTTGCCGCCTTTGCCGCCTTTGCGCCTTTGCCGCCTTTGCCCCTTTGCCACCTTTGCCGCCTTTGCCAGAACGAGGTCTCTTCCTGGGGTGGCAGCCTTGGTGGTACCTTGGTCTTCTGCCGAGGAGATCTCCTCAATGGTTCACTGATTTTATCAATAAGCTGCTGTTTAAGGTCTACAGTGGCGATACTGTCCTCATCATCATCATCATCAGAGTCTTCCTCTTGTTCTTCCTCTCCGTCTTTCAGCGATACCTCTCTTCCTTCTTCCTCGCCAACAAAGGACTCCTCGTCTCTTCACTAGCCTTCTTCTTGGTGTTGGCCATGGTCTCAGTGATAATAACAATAAAGAACAAGAGGCTAGCTAGCGAAATGAACAAGCTAGCGAAATTATGATGAGTTTCGCTAGCTGAACGAAATCACAAAAGGAAAACGTTGGTTAGTCGAACGTTTAGTCGATCGTGGTAGATAACGTTTTTCTTAAATTTTTGACTAAAATATCGACTAAACTGGATAGTTCGAGATTTAGTCCGTGGAGGGTAGACACCTCCTTGACTAAAGGTTACGGACTAAATCTGCGACTAAACAAGGTGCTAAAGTACTCCTTTAGTCCCTACTTTAGTCGCTTGGGTAGAGAGCGGCCTAAGGATCCAATGCGAGGTACCGGTAACCGTAGCGAGCAAAGCCCAAACTTTCGGTACTGTTGCCACTGTCGTCGATGTAGCTATACGGCAGCCGGCACAATGGGTGGATTCATAATGTTCGGTTGTGCATGTAGTCTATTCGTCATAAGGATCCAATGCAAATACCGAACGGAGTGTAGCCGCAAGCGGAACTGAGTGTGTTCGGTACTGTTGCACTGTCGCCGATGTAACTGTACAGTAGCCGGACTACAATGGCTGGATTAACAATAGTCGGTTTTGTGCATGTATTCGTCATAAGGATCCAATGCGAGGTAACCGAGTGCAGCGAGCAAGTCAAACCTGAGTGTGTTCGGTACTGTTGACATGTCGCCGATGTAACTTAAGTAGCCGACTACAATGGCTGGATTAACAATAGTCGGTTTTGTGCATGTATTCGTCATAAGGATCCAACGAGGTAACCGAGTAGCGAGCAAAGCGAACCTGAGTGTGTTCGGGACTGTTGCACTGTCCTGATCGATGACTCTACTGTAACTGGCTACGATGGCTGGTGGATTGACATGTTCGGTTGTGATGTATTCGTCATAAGGATCCAATGCAAGGTACGGTAACGGATGTAGCAGTAAAGCGGAACTGAGTGTGTTCTGTACTTTTGCCACGTCGCCGAGTAACTGTACGGTAGCCTGCTACAATGGCTGATTAACAATGTTCGGTTGTGCATGTATTCGTCATAAGGATCCAATGCGAGGTAACGAGTGCAGCGAGCAAAGCCGAACCTGAGTGTGTTCGTACTGTTGCCACTGTCACCGATGATGCATGAACTCTACGGTAACTGGCTACAATGGCTGGATTGAGAATATCGGTTGTGCATGTATTCGTCATAAGGATCCAATGCGAGGTACTGGTAACCGTAGCGAGCAAAGCCGAGCTTTCGGTACTGTTGCCACTGTCGTCGATGTAGCTATACCGCAGCGGCTACAATGGCTGGATTCGTAATGTTCGGTTGTGCATGTATTTTGTCATAAGGATCCAATGCAAGGTACGGCAACGGAGTGTAGCAGCAAAGCGGAACCTGAGGTGTTCGTACTGTTGACACTGTCGCCGATATAATGTACGGTAGCCGCTACAATGGCTGGATTAACAATATTCGGTTTTGTGCATGTATTCATCATAAGGATCCAATGCGAGGTAACTGACTGCAGCGAGCAAAGTCGAACCTGAGTGTGTTCGGTACTGTTGCCACTGTCACTGATCGATGAACTCTATGGTAGCTGGCTATGATGGCTGGATTGACAATGTTCGGTTGTGCATGTATTCGTCATAAGGATCCAATGCGAGGTACCGGTAACGGAGTGTAGCCAGTAAAGCGGAACCTGAGTGTGTGTTTGGTACTGTCACGGATCGGTGTAACTCTACGGTAACTGGCTACAATGGCTGGATTGACAATATTCGGTTGTGCATGTATTCGTCATAAGGATCCAAGTAGCGAGCAAAACTGAGGAAACAGGAGACGACGCTGAAAAAAAGCCGAATTGTGGTGGTGGTTGGTTGTTTTGGTTGGTTGGATATCCTTAGGGTTAGAGTTTAACTAAAACCGAAGCCCCTCTCTTGGGCCCCCACATTTCTTTACACATTCTCTTTTATAGCAACGGATCCTGAATATTTTCCTCACATTTGCACACCTCTAAGCTCCCGTAAGCTACCGTGCCACTTTCTCAGACGGAAAATCTAACAGTCTCAGTTGCACACCTCTAAGCTCCCGTAAGCTACCACGCCACTTTCTCAGACGGAAAAATCTAACGTCTCATGTTGCACACCTCTCCCGTAAGCTACCACGCCACTTTCTCAGACGGAAAAATCTAATGACACTACCTTCAGCCAAACTTCAACATATTACTATGCCGGCCCATATTTTAATCAGCTCGCCCGGTATATCTATTACACCTCCGGTGTCCTTTTTTTTGGTGTGTGGATCTTTGGATTGTCAGATCTTTGGGGTCGCTGGTCCCGGGTAGCTGGCGGCTTCGAAACGTGGATCTTCTGGGATCATTGGGGATTTCGATTGAACTTTCTTCTCTTCATCAGGCCATTGATTATATTAATTACAACATTGAAGTTGCCATGGAAGTCACGAAGACACTAAGAGGCAATGTTCCATGCGCCTCTTCGGTGTTCACAGCTGAGTCGAGAGAGCTGTCGAGAGCTGTGGAGTCGAGTGACGAGTCCAGTCGACACAAGCCGAGTGACGAGTCGAGTCGAGTCTGAGTGCCTAGTGACGAGTGACTCAGTCGGTTGAGTAAGAAGTGAATTGAATCATTCGAATCGAATCGAATCGAATCAGAATGATCAATCGAACAGGCTCCAAGGTCGCCGAGAGGGCCCTGCCGGTACCGGTAGTACCGGTGGCTAGCTAGTAGAGGGCGCACGAAGCCTGGTCTCACAACTGGCCAGTGGGTGGATTGAAGGAAGGATCCAACTTCGACCATGATGAAGGCCAAGACACTACTTGCGTATTGCGTCCTAGTAAAGCTGTAAAGATTGGGTTTGAATTGACTTCACAGCAGAATGGTCAAACGAACCCACGAGCCCTTGGAGCAATGATCGGGTACTCTCAATCTAGCCATGAGAATAACAATTATTTCCTTTTCTTCTTTTTCGCCTTTTTCTTCTTGTTGGAGCCACCAACGCCCTTTTCAAATTTGGCTTTTGGCAGCCGAACACTCTCCACGAGTTCATTCTTAAACTTGCGCATTCGCCCACGTTCGTTAATGCGTGTCACTTCGTCGTCTCGTTCGATGAGTTTTCCTTCAAGCTTTTTTGTTTTGCCCGTTTTGGAATCATGGAATTCCAGAATGACATCAAATCCCTTGTAGGATTCAAACATGATGCCCGACAATTCATCCGTCGCCCCCGGGGTTGTCACTTCAATGGAATGATGAACGGCAACGTTGAATCCCAGTGATCCTTCTCCTTCCTCCTCAAACGCAGCATTGATGGCCCTGGCAATCGAGACCACGTCCACGCCCTCACTGGAGCTACCCTCCTCTTCCACAAATCCCATTTCTTCCAAATCCAAATCACCGTCTTCGAACAAAAAGTCTTCTTCCTCGTCTAGTAGTTGGTTGTCATCAATAAGCTCGTCTTCTCCTTCTTCAAAAATCATGTCGTCTCCCTCCTCGTCGAGAATCATGTCATCATCGTCGATAATATCATCGTCTTCCATCAGTGTGGAATCAGCCTCTCCCGAAATGTAGGCAAGAGCATCGACCGTCACCACCACGCGACCCGATTTCCATTCAATAGTCAACATTTCTGGTGAAGCACCTGCACCAACGGCTGCCTCGGTGATGATTCGTTCCCCTTCTTGTTTCCAAACATTTTCATCGGGACCCAAATTGGAAGAAATCAAGGGGGTTGTGCACCAAAGGGCGATACCCTTGGAGGGCCGAGGAACGGGCAGCAGCCATCCGTTGGACAAGGGAAGCGCGAGGACCAGCAGTGCTACTAGTAGCCATCTTGCACTTTGTATTCTTCTAGTAGACTGATATATCCTCATTGTTTCGTTACCATGCAGATCTTTTGTTGTCTCTCTCGAGAGATCCTTTCTGGAGGAGTGCCAATGGCGGTGATTGATGGAGGTTGTCTGTTGGGTAAACAAACCGTTGCGTCTGACGTCAGTATTTTACACCGGGTTGAGTTCTCCAAGTGAGTGCTGTCTCTCACTTTTGGCTTTCAAAGTTTGGGGTGAGCCCAATAAAAGAAGTTGTGGTTACCCTTCAACAAAGTCGCAATCGCTGCAAGATATCCTTGCTTTTATAGAGAAAGCTGCCTAGCACAGTACTGGTAGTAACTTTTCAAGTATGCCTGTGGTTGGCCGAAGGCAGAAGCACGCAAAGGGTAGCCAAGGGGGGTCCACCGCCGCCAACAGTGGCAGCAGATCATCATCGGCACTCAACTTGGGATCGTGGCTGCCGATAAACAAGGATAGAAAACATCCCCCAGGACAACACAGACAGTCCCCTCCATGAGCTGCCTCCGGATGTTCGCCAAAAGGTATACAGCTTTCTGACAGAACAAGATCTGAGTCTCCTCTGCCAAGTGTGTGTCCGATTCGATTCGACCAAGAATGCAGCCCCGAAAAGACCAAGGCAAGGTTTCTGCGCTATCAACAAGAAGCCGAGGAATGGGAGGCGTATACCCAATATGATCCTCACCACCACCAAGACGAAGAATCCTTCCCGTTCTGTATGCCATCGCAAAAGTATTCCGACGATTATGCCACGCTCTATGCCCATGCCATCAAGAATCCAGTTCGAGCTCATTCTCATGACTTTTTTCTTCGACTGGCCAATCGAGAAACCAAGCAAGTGGTTCTCGAAGGGTTCTACTCTATTCAAAAAAGTCGCAAAAAGAGGAATGTCGTTTTCATTGATTTGAAGGATCATCCAATAGAGTACGAACCAATACGACAATCCATCGAAACGTCCAAGTTGACCATCACCATCCTTTCGTATCTTGCGGAGGGGCCGAGGCTAGTGCACTGCAGCAAGATGCTACAATCATCATATGTTGACGTTGGAATAGTAGGGCCCCATTGGCGCTCTTGCTTCCAGGAGATCCTGCCATATCAACGCTTGTGGGATATTTACAATCAATTCATCTACTGCACTCTCTATGCCCGAGTAGACGAGGAATCTTGTTCCCTGAAACTCCAACAGCTGAGAATTGACTTTGGTATTCGTGACCATCGATCAACCGGACCCTATGGAGAGTCCGACGAGTACAACGAATCCGACGCCAGCGGTGATCATTGGGATTGGCAACGAACCGAGGAGGAACAAGAGTTTACAAGCCTACAAAACACACTCGACCAGAATGCCGAGCGTCAACGACACCGTCGCGATGAGGCTGCCAGGAATCGGCACAAGCCCCGCCGCCCCTTTCGCCAAACTCGATGGCGTACCACAGCAAGGAAGCGGTGACATGGAGACATGTATGTGATACCGCTGACGGTGATGACTCCATGGCTGGAAAGGTCCGGTTTTGGCATGGAGATCCTCTTGTACCGCATGGTGCCAAGATCTACATGTATTTGGTACCGCACGGTACCGGTACGTGGTACCTTTGCCGGTCATGCACCAAAGCGAAGCTTGAGCGTACTGTACCGGTTCGTTGTGGTTGTCTGGCCGGCAAATTTGGCCGCTACATGTATGATGCCTGACCTAGAGTATGCATTTCACTCTCGGGTCAAGTCACTCGAGTCGCTTTTAGCTTGGTACATCGCTACCACGTGTAGGAGGAAGTGTCACCGCTGCTGGTTGCACAATGAGGTAACGGCGCCCTTCACATGAAGGCTCCAGCTATTACTAATATCGAACGAGTGCCCCGAGCCGAATCACAAGTGCGCTGATTGCATTCATTATTACCGAGACGATAACAAGACAAGAAGGAAGGAAACTACAATAGCTAGCTAGTGACTAAAAGTCTGTATGTGCAGCAAACCCGGCTGTTTAGTTTAGAAGTAATGATATATACGTATGTAGGAAGCGAACGAGGAACAGCTAATTTCCGTGATAGTTCGTTCTCGTCGTCTTGCTTGTTTTTGGTTTTTTGTTGGTTTTGTTGTAGATCCCTCCCATCCTTGATTGATTCCTCCCATGATGTGACCACCGGTGTCTCGGCCCAGCCCAGACAGCGATGGTCCCCCATGTGTTGTAATCCCCATAGATTTGGTACGTTGATCGCATATGCAGTCATGTATGTAGATTCTTGATCCCCCCACACTGAAAAAAGTTAACATAGAAAAAATGTGGTCATCTTGCTGCTCATGCACTCGCCCCCAGACGAGTCATGAACTTGGTCCTTCTCTTGGTCTTGTACTTGATAATAACGAATGATGGCTCATGAGACAGCGCTGGAAGCAGCAGAGCAGCAAGGAAACAAATGCTTGGCTCTTTAGAAGGCTTTGAAGAAGTGCTCTTCGCAGTGCTGTTCAAAGCCTCCGACACGAGGCTTCAAGGTGATGCGCTCCATCCAGAAGCGGTTGAACTCTTGAGAAGGTTCGGCCATGGGCTTCTTGGCGGCAGCAGCGCGATGCTTGCGCTTCTTCAAGGGCTTGGAGGTTTCGACGACGGCAAAGGAAACGTCAGCCTTGCGGGAAGCGGGCTTCTTGGCATCATCGTCATTACCCTTCTCGAGCAAGCTAGCAGCGATCTCGGCCAAGCAATCCAACTTCTCGGAGGATCGACGGTTGGAGCTTTCGTTCGCTACCATGATGGCCTTGACATCTTCGGAATCAGAGAACATCTCGGCGTCTGCAAACTGCTCGGCCACAGCCATCTTGTAGTTCATGGCACCAACCATCTTGAAATCTTCGTCGTCGGAATAGACAGAGACTCGGCGGCTGGGCTTCTTCTTGGCAAGAGGAGAGACAACGGCACTTCGAGTGACAGGACGGACAATGAAGTCATCGTCGTCGTCGACGCTGTCTTGCTGTTCTTCCTCGTCGTCTGAGTCCTCGTCTTCTTCGTCGTCAGCGTAGATGCAGTTATCTTCGTCTGCCGAGCTGGAGGATGGAGTAATGGGGGCAGACATGTCGATGTCATCTTCTTCTTCGCTCGAGGTACCCAAGATCATGTCAAGGCTCGAGGATGCCACTTCTTCCGCGTCAGGCTCAAAGGTGTTGTGCTTGGACTTGAAGGAACGGTTCTGCTTGGCTTCTTGACGCTTCTTCTCGTTGAACAGAGCGCGTTGGACCTTCTTGAAGATGAGACGAAGGTCAGATACGTTGGAGGGATGCAACTCGGACATGTCAGTTGCAGCTCGCATAATGAAGCGTCCTCCCTTGCGGATCACCACATCCAAAATCTTGGTCTGGACAAAGGCACGGCGCATCGCGAACTTGCTGGGATCCATCTCGGCGTAAGTCTTCCAGTACTTCTCGATCAAACCTCGGTAGACGGATCCATTGCGGACATGGTCGCGCTTGCGGCCTCGACCAAAGACGGCGTCGAGCTTGTTGAGAGTGATGGGGGTGGTTTTCTTGGATTTGGCCATGGTGAAAGATATTTTGGGGTCGGTTTGGCAACGGCTAAGATTTGCGTTTGGCTTTTTTGGATTGTGCTCGGCTTGGAATTGTGAGAGGAAGGGAGAGTGGAGAAAAACAAAAAACAGGATGAATGCAAAACAAGTTGCCGACGTTTCTTTTTGCCTGCTGTAGAAACTGTACCAGAGCTAGCGGGCGAGGGCTAAAAACTAACGGGTGGCTCTTTCGAAGAGGGAGGAGCATGAGCTTCAGCAGCTTCTTTACGTAGAAGTACTGCTCTTCTAGAGTAAAGTAACGTCGCTTGGCAGAACTGCCTCTAAAGCTCTTGATTTGGCTCGTGTCGACGGTTCAAACCCAGTTCGCAATAAACAGGGGCAGCTGGGGTGCCATAAACAACTGTGATTCTCTGAGGAGCCACTTCGCGCTCGAAAATCTTAGCTCATGTACGCGTTAAACCTAAATATATCTGTGTGACTTGATCGGACTTGGCTGGTCAGACTGACCATGTGCTTCCTTTCTTTTTTGTAGAAGCAGCTTCTCAAACAGCTGTGATTTTCTGAACGAAAGACGAATCCAGCTGGAAAAATGTACCATCGAGACCTTTTGTGCATTTCTCATGACTATGAGCTCGTGGTCAGCATCAACTTCAATGACCCATAATTTAATTATTAAAGAAGACAATTATATACATAAAATAATCGATTTTATGTTTTAATCTATTTGATTTGCTTAATAATTATAATAATGTTATGATGTTGAGTTTAGGTGCTAACCACAGACCGCATCCCGCACATCCGGACATCCATTGGACTTTTCGGTACCAGTAGGAGCTTCACTGAAACATTTCGCCGAAGTACTTAGCTGGCCACTTTCTACTCATTATTACTCCAGAACTACGGTACATTGTACTAGTGCTGAGTACTGAGTAGGTTACTGAGTAGTACACGTACCACGTACTTACTTTCGGTTTTTGGCAGCTGTGCAGCGCAGTAGCGCAGCTAGCAGAGCTCTGCTACTAGTACAATGTACTAGTCATGTACTCATGTACTGCATGCAGCAGCTGTAGATGCTTTCTTTTCTCTTATGGAGACTGTCCAAAGTACAGACATTTTTTACTGAGAGGCACGTGGGTGCGGACCTCTTTTGTCAAGAGGAGGTGGTGATTCTTTTGTTTTGTTTGTCTGAGTTGTTATATCATCATTCACACTTGTGACTGCTGGACCACGAGTACCTTCTTCTTTTCACACACAAAATTTACGAGCTCACTCGCTCACTTGAAGTTTTGATGCCGCGGGAGTTGGCTTTGGACCTGGCAAAATAATGGTACCGTACACTACGGTGCGAACTGGACGATATGGTGAAGACCGCTAGTATGCTAGCTACTAGCTAGCTAGCTAGCTAGAGCCTCGGTTGGGAGAGATTGCTTGTGCTTAGTCACCTTCACCTTCATCTGCTCCTTTCAGCAACCACGAGCAATTTCCTTGCAGAGTAATGCGGATATTCTCAGCAATTAGAGTCTAAGTAGTGTGGCATTCATGGATGCCAATTTTCCTCTAAAACACACATCGAGTGGCACAGTTGCGCTTGGGAAACTAGAACGCGAATTTTGGATCAAAGATAATCCTACCATGCACAATAGCAACCATATTCAGGTCTTGGTCTGCGATTGAACTGGGTCCGACTTCGCCTTAAGGTCTTGTCAATCAATCTTATTAGACCCAGATGAGGTTGGCAGCACGGGAAGCCTCAGCCGCAGTTGTCGAGTCTCTTCCCGTGCAGTGGAAGCAATCTCCTGCACGGAGACCTTGACTGCAAAGTCGGAACCGTCAACATTATGCGCACCGCAGCCGTTGTTAAGCCGCTTTAGCTGTCAGAACATCCAAGTGACGCAGAAGCAAAGGCATACGGTTGTCTTGTACGGGGCGGCTGTGAAGCTTGATGGTGGGCAAGGTGATATCAGTCTCCGTTTTCTAGCTACAGTAGAGGGACGGTAAAACTCAAATCTAGGCTGAAAAGAGGAAGAATTGAGGAGGGTTGTATCCGGAAATGCGAGCCTTTGGAACCAATCAATGAGATACCTGCGGCTGAGTAACGTAAGCGACAAGCTCCCTAGCTATGCATAGAAGTTACACAAACTGTGTCACAATGTGCTGTTCAAGTCAAATTCCAAACTGAATTCTAGAGTCTGTGCCTGCAGATGCAGGGATTATCAAAGGTTGCGTCTATCTATGCCTCCGGCCGGATAGCTCACAAAGCCAACTCTTCGTCTAACAGCTGCTAGCTATCTCGCGGTCTCGTGTAGCAATACCTCTCGGTTCGGGGGAGATGGCAGTTGGGGTGAACTACGTATCTTTCAAATGCGTGACCAGGTCGCCCAAGTATTTTATGTTCCCTCAAAACCGATGCTACTCGGGTTTGGCAAAGAGACCGTACTGGTACCACACAGCGAAAGATACGGCTTGTGGGGCTCGTACGAGCAAATGTACGAAATCCACGAAGGAACCAAACAGGTCGAGCTATCAAGGCAATCTTCGAGAGAGCCCAAATCGTTGGCCTCCGCAAACCCTCACAATTTTTCTTTGTCGACCAAAGAAAGCAAACCTCCGGATCGATTTTTTCGTTGGAAAGCCACCATGGCAAACAACTAACTTGAGAATCCATCTTGGACGTACGGTATGCTTGCTTTGGTCGACAATGGCGCTTTGTGGCCCGTCGGCAATGATTATCGCATCGAGCCTCAGCCACCATGGCCGATGCAATGATCAATGGCCGTCTTCAAGGGTCGACGACAACAAGTCCAAGCCGCTCTCGAGTCTCAGTCGGAACGTGATGAAGAATTCGATGATCGGTTCTCGAAGATGGAGCATCTTTGCCACCTCTAGAATCCACCATCCTGTTTTTTCATGCATGTTTTGATCGTCGATAGCAAGATCTGCATTCTCCCGCGGCACTTGTTCCGTGCGCTTTATCTCGTGATCGATCACCTTGGATCACTTGTCATGCCTCGATCCTGTCAATGATCTGCGACCATGACCGGCGCCCGCACGACGACGCGTCGACACTCTGGCTGGATGGACGGATTGCTATTAAAAGCCATTGGGAGTGAACCAAGCCGCAGTGACAGGTGCTTTGTGTTGTGGTCACCATTGCCAGCACAATGATCTGTCCCACAAGCTGTTTGGTTTCCCTCGCAGGGCTTTTGTCGATCCAGCCATCAACTACTGGGAGGAGATGGCCGCCTTGTCTGATGCGTCGAGCCATGCAGCTGCCTTTCCACTTGAAATGGGCTGTCTTGCCCTTCTTGACGACTCGACTCGACTATCTGTCTGTCTCGATGGATGGATGGAATCGAGGGAGATTGATGCTAGAGTTGGAAAATAAATGCCAGCTCAAGGATCCATCTTTCTTTGAAGCCATCCATCCTTCGGAGATGTGGAGCCCTTTTGAGCCACCTTCAAATTGATGCCGACAAGTCAACGTCGTGGGCCGTCTCCGTCGATTGAAGTCAGCACTCTCCGCTTCTACTGTAGGTACCTCCTTCCACCTTCCACCTTCTTCCATGATGATGACCACTCGCTGATCACAGGCTCACTGATGGTTCTTTTATGTTGGAACAACCTAGCCAACATGCCGAACCTTCACAATGAAACGTGTGACCAGCCAGGCATCGTCGAATTTCTGTCTCCTGTTGCCTCCACAAGACCACGGTACAGCTGTAGCAAGGCTGGAAACGAGGTCCCGATGAGACTATTTCCTTTCTTTCCGATGGCATTGACGCGTCCTCAGCTCTCGACGGCAATGGCAATTCTGACCATGCATTGCCGGCGCAGAGCTGAAGCTGCGTTCTCATTGCCATCGGAAAAGTCTGGTCATGAAGAATAGGAGTGATGATTGCACCATGGCCCTACCTGGCTGTTTTCTGTGCCAAGATCGCTATGGGACTTTTGAATCTGAATCTGATGACCTTTGACCCCTAAGCTA